GAACGGGTGCCCATGCAGGACTTTGTCATCTATAGAAGATATATAACATAAGAGCTCAGAGCAATTCGTGTCTAGCCAACCAAGGTATTAATTTTCCTGAAGATCGCCTACCATTTAGGGCTCGGGATAATGTATAAACAACGAGAGTCGAGAAATAAGGATGGAACGTGGACGGTCAGTTAGTTTTAAAAGTTTATACCAGGATGGTTCCGACATAAATATAGACGAAAGATTAGGTTTCAGGGATAAAAAATACAAGGGTTATGAGGAATATTCACTTGAAGATCTTACCAAGTGCTATTGTTATTTATGGCCTTATCTGTGCAGAATATTTAGAATACTACGTCGAGAGTACTCTTATTAAGATGAAAAGATAAAAACCTCAAAGAAAGACATTAAAAATTGCGCCAAGATTGCAGGAACTGCCATGGTTACAGAGGTCAGAACTCTTCACGATATCGACTAAGCAAATTTACTTTTTATAAAAGCAGTTAGATCTTAAGATTGGAACTGATAGCATCTTTCCTCGGCTCAATGCATCAGATTTGGTCGGAGACAATAAAGATTTAAAGCAGGATACCTTTACAAGTGCAGTGTTAAAGGTGAAAAGTGCACGTTTAAAGCCTGCAAGTATACCATTAGCGTGCAGAGATTCATAAATTTAGTAAAATATTGTTATATGGTTAACACATTAATCATTTTTCAAATGCATCTTTAATGGCCTGCGCATTGGGGACGGGTCAATTGACACTCAAACTCTCAAAGAGACTTATGGCATTAACGAAATGAACAAGATTTTTTTCATTCTATACTGCTCGAGCTTGTAAGAATAGCTCATTCTAAAATCTGTTTCCAACTTGAGTTGGCATATCATCTTTAAATGCATGCTATAACTGTAGGCAATTCCATCGTCCATTAGATGCACGTCTTCAAAGGTGACGAACCAGGAAATGTTGTCACCTTACTTGGTAATTGTGATTTCCATACCTGATCTGATCGTGAAAATAGACTTCATAAAACTAGTCACCATCAAACCAATTTAAAAGATTTATTATACATATTGCATTTGATACAAATAATAGGTAATATGTTTGAACAAACAGCCTGAGGTACCATGAACCTCATCGGTTTCAAACAGCACCGACGATCAATGACATATGAGAACCGAACTTAAGATTATGGAACCTGCGTTTATCAGTATTTACAGGTTATAACACTACTCCATAGAAGCAAATTACATTCAGGATTTACAACTTGTGAACTCTATATACAATTAACAAGTTTCAGATGGTATGCACTTCAAACAAAGCCTTAAAATATACCTCTTGAAAAACGTGGCATTTAAGAACTCAACTACAATGCCTGTTTCCCACTGGATCGTATAGCTTTATTTCAACGCCATGCGTCTCTGGCTGTGTCGAAGCAACCAGTCGTAGTTTACAGCATTAGGAAACGCTTCGCTGTACGAATGAACAGGAAAACAAGCCTAAGTTTAATCGACATGAATCGAGCTTACTTTGCCCCCTGTGATATCTGGGGAGAACTTAAGTCTTTAGGATTACATTTTGTCAGCACCTAAGTTCGTGAATAGCGATCGTTACTGGCGTTCCATATTGCTTAGATAGTGTATACATGTGTACTATGCACTCAAAATTTTTACCATACAAGTTTCTACGTGAATATGCATCGAGGAAGATGAAGAAAAAAACATCTTTAAGTTCACATCAGATAAGGTGAACTTCATGCTACACACTCAGAACCTTATCGCTCAACTATTCGGATTGATAAAACTATACACATGATATTTATACACATAACCCGGCTTCTTAGAACTAATTCAGTACAACAGACTATTCATATTTGTCACTGTTTCCCGCTTTGTTTCTTAAACTTTTCTACAAACTTGTAAACAGCTCTCCCACACGACTTGAGTACCGACATTCTCAAAGCCATCTTGTAATCCGGCGATTAAGGTAAATGACATATTTAGAGTTCCAAAGTCCAGAAACGTAGTTTCTTCACATAGCAGAATCTTTTGAAAACTGTTAGACTAGTTTACAGTCTTAAACTACAGGTACACGTGTCGTTATACTAAGCGCTGTTCGTTCGTAAAAGGAGACGTTCCGTTCGAAAAACGGCCATGAGAATTAACGCTCGTTATCATTTTCATCTAAATATACGCATAGTTTTCCAGATAATCGCGTACGACCAGATTCTTATGGCCAGTAAGCAAACTTTCCCCGTTCTCCATGAACGTGTCTTTCTCCAACTCTGCACAAATTGCCAAACGCCTGGGTGAACCGGGAGAAGATGGCGTCGAGTTGATTTCGTCACATCGACGCGACTCGCCGGGCACATCCATGGGCATTGGCAACTGATAACTATCACTTTCAACAAAATCCAAGTCCTGACTTCCTAGGGATTTCGTCGACTCTGCGCTAGAAATCGTTTCGTAACTGCATTTTCTCTTAACGCTGTTGCTTTTCGACCTGCTCAGCTGTAATCCCGAACTGAATCGACGCCGTGTCGGCTCAGAATGAACGCGTTGCGTAGAGTACGGATTTGACACCCTGTGAAAACTCGACTTTCGGCTAAACAGCGAAAATATAGATTTGCCATGGACGTCGGCTTTGTGTGGCTGAAAATCGTATTCGTTCACGGACCTACTTCGTCGATACCTCTGTCTTAAACTGTTCAACATGCTTGTACGTCTTTCGCACCATACACACGAGTTGTGACAACCTCCTGATTCTCCGTTTAATCACTTGTTTAAACGTTTGATGTTCTTATGTAATATCCGACCTCATGGCACGAGACGAAACCCGGACCGGTAAACGGACTCCCAATTGGAATCTTTATGTATGGGAGCCCAACCAAAGATCTCAAACTCATTTCCGCAGGAAACAAAGTTCAAACCATAGATGCATGTAAATAGATCTCGAATTTTTAGAGAGAGGTGTGTTTACATAGATTTCACGAAATCCATTCAAGTTAGATCTATGATCGCCGAGCACACCTTGGTTGTCACTGGAGCGACTGTACATGAAAGCTGAATAGGATATATAGGGATATATAGGGATAAGAAGTAGGATATATAGGGATATACATATAGACTTATAGGGTTATGATAGAAAATATGGATTGTGTCAACTCAGATTAAATCCAGATTGAAGAAAGATGAGGAAATAAGTGACTGCTGCACTAAAATTGGTAGGTTTTTTACACAAATAACTATATAATCTTGTTAAGATTTACTAACGTCACTGAACTGAAGTTTTCAGGAAGATTATACAAGAATAACCTGTTTTCTAATCAACGGCGTCTGCCTCAGTTATTTTATCATATATATTTTTCATGGAGTTACTGAACAGCGGCAATTATCCAAACTGATGTCATGATATTCAAATTCAGAGAGACAAATGGGATATCGCATCAAGAGGATTCCCTCAGCGTCCCCGAGAAACCACACGTGTCTGTCATTTGATCCAGGCTTCCAGTTTCCACTCCAGAGTACATTCGACTCTTAGATTAAGAACCCCTAACTTAATGGTGGTTCTTTCTCACGGTCTGTTCCATGTAAGATGAAAAATTTAAACATGTCAATTCTCAGTCAAGTGCTGATAAGGATCACGAAGATATTTATTCTAGCAAGAACAGGACGGAGGTGGCCACTTGTCCAAAAATGATTATATCTTCTTTTGCAGCTCTGTGCAACATCAAATTATTATCAGGCCGGTCGAATTCATCATCGATTTTAATTTATAACGTCGTGATTAATTTAGGTTCAAAATAAATGTGAGGTCAGTTTTATTATCAGTTCAATTGCGTTCACGATAAGTCTCAGTTAACTATCAGTCTAGCTGCACCTCCTTCTGTTTACAAATATGAGTGACTCATCATTCAACGTTTAGAGAAATGCGATTTGTGAAAAAGAGCATTAGCATTCTGTACCAGGCGATTCGAAGGCAATTAACAGGTCGTTAATTAACAAGTGTCGCACGGATTTATTTAATAACCAACTTAAAATGATCGTGTGTGATGATGGTTATGTGTTAATGCTGATTCAATGATTATATTAATATTCTGCTTCGAAATTTGAACTTTTCATGCGTGGAAAATATTAGTTACATTACTTTGGTGATCACTTGATAAGCTTTATTTTCTATTTATAAACAATACGAAACATTAGGTTCAAGGTACTCTCATCAAACAGCACTTTAGATATGCTGCTATAAATTCATTTAGGTGATTCGACACGACTTACAACTTTGGAAATACATTTTGAGCGAGCACCCGTCTACAATAGAACCGTGGCTAGTGACAGTTTAAGCCCTGGGTCTAGACTAGACCATCAGACCATCGTTCCCAGGTTTTCCGCGTGCTGTAGTACGAAAAACGCCCATTCAATTCCCAGGTTAAATCAGGGGCCCGAAGTATAACGATATTCTGGGATATAGCTCTCTAGTCTCTCTATAAAGGCCTATTTATACTATGCGATCTTGTCGTATACGATTCGTACCCTGGCGTATGTGAACGTATGAACATAAGTTTAAATTCCACCCTGAACAATATGAATGAATATTGTGGCATAGGCCCTCTTTTGCATCTATCCGAAACTCTGATAAGTTTAAATGATATTTCCCAGCTTGTTTTCGTTTAGTTTCATATCCCATTTCGCGTATCTTGACTGTTATTATCGTGTATTGTGGTATTGTCTATTGTTCTTGCTGGATTTCCCCCATATGCAGAGATGCGAGAATTTAATATTAAAACTTCTAGTTGTAAGAGTTATTTGCCCCGAGTTCCAGGTTGTATTAGACATTGTGACATTTAATACCATTGCTACTTTTTGACTGGTAGCATTTGTTACCAAACGTTTGGCAAAACATCAATGAATCATTCGTACTTTAGAGTCGAAAGCGTGAATCATTATTTCCTTACATGAGCTCTCGACAGAACAGCGAGGTATTTTATACGTTAAATAATAAAATCCAGCTTACCTTTACGACGGCATGATATAACCTCGATTGTTTAACAGAAATGCACAAGTTAAGATCATAAGATGTTCATAGAATGCTGTCCACTGCCTTGAAGGGAATGCCATAATATTTCACTTTCAATGCCAATAGCGAACGCGAGATTTAACTCAACAAATACGGCTGAGATAAAGAACTTCGCGTGAAATATTCCAGACAAAGTTTTTGTCCACCGTTTGCATTATCAATTCATCGTATTTCCCACTGGATTTGATGAAAATCACGGATGTGATGTTAGAATAAGTTCTGCTTTGTTTGAGCGAACTTCGTTTCATCTTCTCTCGTCTTGTAATGGGCAGGCGTTGTTTAGCACGAGGTGAATTTTGACTTTTGAAATTAGGCTAATTCGCCATTGTAAAAAGGTAAAAACATGACATACGACGCCCGCGGGATTTCAATTATTAATCCCCTTTCTTTGTCATGAATTTCGTTTTATTATCTTGTCGCGTTTCGTCCAAAATCATAAGCTATGGCAGCTATCTTGGTGGACCCATTGGGACCATCACATTCAAAAGGATGAGTGATTTCATCTAATTCACTTCTGACGTATTGAATGTAATCAGTTACTGATAAAGCAGCACTGCTTTGGTTTACCTTTGGGTCTGCCCGTAACATTGCAAGTCAACGAACTATAAAACATCCATCAGAAGTGAATTGGATCCGATAACATGAACAACAACTCGCAAAGTAAAAAAGAAGTACAAAACGTTTCCCCGACATATTTATATTTATAAATATTTGATTTAATCAAAGCGATTGATGTACGTACACAATGACTCATATTTATTCTATTTAAACCTGGCTAACTGTTTGCATTGCATTCCGAAGTTGTTTTTTTAACTTGTTTCAGTAAATTTGAAAGTCGTAGCTTGGATATTTATTGTCCCAGGTAACGGCCGTTTCGTGTGTCAAGTCCTACAGTTATCAGCAATTGTACCAGGTTTCTTTTTATTCTCTTTTTAGTATGGTTTATTCATTACCCAAGACCGACATCCAACGACATCATAACAATAAAGCCGAGAATCGTAAACCACGATGCTAAACGACCATTGCCACTACAATAACCGGGAAAATTTAGCTTCCAAAAAGTACAATATTATGTCAAATATAGCAGAGGCATAGCCAGGATTTTGCAACACCGGTCTTAAAAGAAAGCTTTTGTTTATTAAAGAACTCAAATATATTCAATAATGCATCTCTTACCTTGTTTGAGCTTCAGGTACAATATCATCGACAACGACAAAAATCATAGCTCCTGCAGCAAACGCCAGGGCATATGGCAAAATCGGTTCGGCAAGCTGGAAGATAGATATATATGGCAAGATTGGTTCGGCAAGCTAGGAGATAATGCTTAAACTAAATGACCACTGTTGAGATTACTGATATAAATTGTGTTTAACTTACCACCACAGCGAATGCACCAAATATACCAGCCAGTGGTTCTACCATACCACTGAGTTGACCATACCTTTCGAAGACACCAAAAGTAAAATCAGTTGTAGTTCTCAAAGTGTACCATAGTACTTGATAAATATTACACGAATCTCAGGTAATGTTTACCATTAGTTTACAATTTGACACCCAACTTACCAGAAACTCTTTAATGGTGAAAGACCAGAGCCCATTAATGGTAAGCTTACTGCAAGTCCTTCTGGGAAATTCTGTATACCAATACCAATTGCTAAATTCCTATATGATTGAAACACCATATATGTATAGAACATTATTCATATTATTGTACTTGCATTATACAGTTTATCAATTACCTTGCATTTTCCAAAGTAGCTGATGGACTCTTTCCAATTGCACCAAAACCAACACCAACAGCAAGACCCTCTATATTTTTCACAAATTATAATTTAGTTCATGTTGACCCACCTGCTAGGCCTATAGATATATTGCCAAACCCTTTACTCTACAATGTCTTTGAATCAAACAGGACTTCCAAAATATACCTGGAATATTATGGACAGTTATAGCAACTATGAGCAGAAATATTTTCTTCCAATTTGCTTTGATATTGTCCTCTTGTTCGGGCAATTTACTGTCGGTATTCCCAACTACGTCATCCTCCGAATTTGTTTTTTTTCTTCTTTGAACAATGTTTATTGACGTATCATCATGTTTTTTCCTTGACGTAGATCTACCATTTACTACGCTGCCATTGTCAAAGCCATTTTTCTCTTCCTTTTGACCAGATAGGAAAAAATCGCTCACATCACCAGAGTCATAACCCTTTAAGAGAACACATGAAAACAATTCAAGATGATGTGAATGATTACAAAATAAGCTTTATCCCAGATCGCTTTAACACATTGAGTTACATTTCCACCCTGATGCAACCAACTTCATTGTTAGTACTGTGAAACTCATGCAGGACATTTCTCTGATCAAGATATGAGTGTTGGTGCTTAATTGGTTAACTGGTCTTCCTGACCATGTGTATACCCTATTTTACTATTTACCCTGTCTAAAGCAAGATGATTTTACACATTATTGCGAGCGCTGGCAATGAATGGTCTAATGTACTAATCTCTTTCAGATGGCTCTGCAAGACAACTCTTTTCACAAAGCAAGTGCACAGCTAACACAGAGCTATAATGCAGAGCTATAATGCTGGGGCTGGTTGTATGAAAGCCAGATAGCGCTATTCACCAGATAGTGGTTTTTTTAATCACTTAAAAATCGCCCGTTATTTGCTATAACTTTGATTAAATCTTAGTATTCCTAAATCTAGTATCCTCTTTAATAATTGCTGGTTCCAAAAATGAAATTTTATCGCTTTTTATTGAGCATTTTTAGAACAGTTGAAAAAAACACTATCCGGTGGATAGCGCTATCCAGCCTTCATACAACCGGCCCCAGAGCTATAATGCTCTACAGCCTCTTAAGTGATACCACAGTTTAAGGGTTAAGGCTAACCCACCCACTATCACTTGTGGTGACACAAAAGGAGCAATAACTAACCAGATATGTCAAAAAAACATCAGCATAATAAACAAATGCAGCTCCCATTAAGAAACCAATTGCCACAGGAACAAACGCATATTGGCCATCTTCACCATACATATTAGACTGTGAGGCCATTTCTATGGCTGGGGCAAGTAATGACCAATACGAAGCAGCCGTCATAACCTTGTATAACAAAAAAACAATTTGCTCATAATTTGTACTTTATACTCGATGTACACAGATCAAATCAATGTTTTAATAAACGACAATAATTTTCCTACCCCGGCGGCAAATCCAAGACTACCATCCAGGACTTTCCGCTAAAAACGAACACATCACACGATATCAAGTTAACAAAATAAAAAGCCTAACAAAATATGCACAAGCGAATGACGAAATGTAAACAAAATGAAGAAAAATAAAGAAATTCAAAACTACTTCAAAAATTTAGACCTGTTTGCCATCAAAAACAAAAACCAAAGCAGCACCGGCAGCTGTTAATCCCCACGTTAATAAAGTTCCTAAAAATGTTTGAACTACAGCATTATAACCAGCGATCATTTTCTACAAAGTTATATAAAGTTTCTTCAAAATATTTATCCTTCCAAAATCCAAACTGACTCCACTTTGACAGCCGCTCTTTTTGTCGCTCTTAAAAATGACAACTTTTTTCCCGTTTTATTTTTCCTCTTGCCGTCGATTGCCTCACCGGTGAACAGTCGCAGACATCAACCATCGTTTGCACCAGCCTCGTTCCCAGGCTCTTTAAGAAATACTTCGCGGAGAAAGCACTAAGCGCGCTGGGGTGCTTGGGAAACTATTCCATAGACAATAGGTCATGACGTAAAACTTTGTTTATAAACAGTCAAGCATTTTTCTGACTGCATTTTTACTGCTATAAGAAGTTTGAGTTGAGCAAAAAACCCACACTAAATTGAATAATACATAGACATTTTAGACAAGTGTATATCCCTTATCCCTACTTGTCTTTGAGAAAAACAAGTGATTAACTTTGAATATGCTGAATTGTCTGTCTCTTCATTTCTCTCACATCTCTAGTATCAACTCTTTCAATTCTTCTAAAGTTTCTATGGTATCATCTCAATCGCTATCTTTATTGCTATCATCTTCATCTTTGGCCACTTTCTTCTTTTTCTTTTTCCCAGCTTCCGTTTTGTCCTTGATCTTTCTCTTTTTTGCCTGTGAGTTTTCCACTTCAATTGCCTCAATATTGTCCGGCAGCGAGGTATGGATCGGAAGAGCAATAGAATTGGAAGACTTGATATTCATTGACTGAATGTTAGCCCAACCTCGAGGAATTACCTTTGTGATTTCACTTACGCCATCCATTATGTTTGTAACAATTTCCTCTGGGCTCATTCCAGAATGAGCAATACGGATTGCGCTAAAAAAAGATGCCATTGTTGTCAGTGAGATTGCTTCACAAAAATCAAGCTTTTCTCAGCAAACCAAGCAAAGCTTATGTTAGGTGCAAGGCTTTCTGTGTTTGACATCATTATAGAGAATATTAGATGTTCATAGAGTGGGCTCTTAACCCTAGGACTGTGATTGGGTCTTAAACATAGCAAAGGAGAGTTAAATGTCAAAGTACCTGCAGGATCCTTGTCCAACAGACATCAAAGTACATTGCAATGCTCCATTAATTTCTTCAGCAATATTTTTCTTGCCTAAATTGATTGGTATTGGAAATCTAAAAAAAGGGCATTATCAGTGATTACACAGGTTTCATAAAATCTATAGAATTCACAGAAATTTTAGCCCCCAAAGCCATGCTTTCAGTTGAAAAGTTCTAAGTTTTCGCTTCAAATATCAAAGCACTAACTTTTTCTTGCGATAGAACTCCTTGCCCAGTAACCTTGGCAATATGTGGTGTATGTTACTGTCGCACAAAAATACATCATACATCGCCAGCAATTGTCTTCTCGACTCATACGACTTGTAATGAGTTTTGAGTTTCTTTATTGGAATCACCTGTGAAACAGAGAAAGTTGTTTTATTTGTGAGAACAAGACCAACAGTTTAATACTCTACATTTTTTTACTAAACCTTAGTTATTGTATGAACTCCATTCTTTTCCAAGAACTCTTTAACTTGTGAACCTTTCTCTTTCGACAACAGGCAAACATCGGTGATTTTTGAATACAGCGAATGTGGCAGAGTTCTGGAATGAATGATATTCAAATCAATGAACCTTTTCCCTTTTATTTTTCAAGCATGCCAGGTCTATTGGCCACTGTAGATGACTGGTGATAGTAAAATTGACAATTCGACAGTGCATCATATAGTTTGTTGAAGAAAGCAGGCAAACTTTGTGCTTCTTTTCCAAAACAATTAGTTGTCACTGGTCCTCCCAAGAGTTTGTGATGTTGGCTAATTGAAGTGTAAAATCACTTGGCAAAAGACAGCATGTTTCATTTTCAATATACATACATCCTTTTCGGTTTTTTGTTCGCCTGTGGGATCTTTTTTAGTGCCAGCTGCAACCATATTAGCTCGTTCTCATTCAGTAAACGTATCTCGTTACTTCTTGTCGTCGCAAGATACTTCAATAACGCTGGAACGGCCATTTCAACCTTGTATAAAACGAATTAAGAATCAGTTTTAGACTTTTTAGACTCAGTTTAGAGTTGAGCTAACTTGAGCAATATTTTTATATCTATAAATTCTTTAGAATCTCTTGAATTTACATATAAAATGGCGATAGAATGATAGCTATATCCGAGGAATGCATTCCTTTCGACAAATCGGTCAAATATATTTAAGTAAAGGAGAAAAAGCTCCTAAAATACCTGGTTTTTATCCAACCTGCTTTCTCTTACGGCCGCCATCTTGAAACACGTGTTTCGTAAACGATGTACTTCATGTAAAAAATTATAAAATTTAATAAAAAACACTTATTCCGGGGGGAGTGCAACACGATGCACGGCAACACACGCCCCACCTCTGAAAACAACTGAGCTAACAATCACACCACCACCCTCTGATGTATCACGTGCCACAGAAATGCAACGTCATCCATACCTCGCATGAGGAGATCTGACGTAATTGGTGAAACATTTTTTTGGGGGGGGGGCTGGCAAACTATATATCCCTAATTCTAACCTTCATACTAAAAACATCCTTGTATTAAGTTTTAATCGAACTCAGGAAACTATTCAACTCTCTTTGTTTCATTTGCAATATATATCCTTACATACACTTCCCATGGAAACGCGTTTGAAACACAGAGATAAACTCTCACCCTGCACATGATATTTTTACCCAGATAGCAATAAGTCTGCTGCTTTGTTACAGCCTTGTTACAAGTTGCTCTGAGCTGTCAAAAGCTCAAGACGATCATTGGGAAGTTCACGTTTTCAGTCGTTGCGCGTTCCTCATTTACGCAAGTACTTCACTAGGCTTCAGCTGAAGCATCCGTGTTCCTTGTTAAGAAATATTTATAACCATTTATCCGTGTGAACGTTCTTTTGGCCGAAACCATGTGACGTATTCCACCCTTCCCGTTGCTTGGTGTTTCCAAGGTCCTGTTTACACTATACGGGATTCGCATGTTCAAGCCATGAAAACTAGCCATGTCAGAATGAGTTTTTCTGCTAGAATTATGATAGCATGGTTGAATGATGAAGTTCTGTGGAGAGAGATACCGTAAAACAACTTAAAACGATTTCGTGACCCATGTGAATCCAGTATTGTGTAACTGACGGGGTTTAAATCCGTGTTCGCACTGCAAGACGTGAGCCTGTCCTACGCTACGCCTGGCCCTCATCCAGTTCTCGTAGTTTAATCGTGCATTCTTCTCGCCCAATACTTGTTTAAGCTGGCCTACACTAGGCATGACCAGGCCTTAATGGAGACTTAGGTCTAAGCCTTGCCACAATCTGGTCTGGGGCCAGTTATATCAAAGTCTGGTTGACTTTTAACTGTAGTTAAGGACAGAATTGGCCAATCAAAGTCGTGTATTTCTGAGTGCATTTCTAAGTTAGCGAGTTTTATACAACTGGCCCAGATGTATAAACACGAGTAACGAGATAACTACTGAATATTTCTGTCGGCCAAATCTTTGTCTCAACATAGCAAGTAAGTGATTTCGAAGTCGGCTTTACAACCAGTTCTAATATATCAAATACTTTTCACCAAGAATAGCTTAGTGTTATCATGACAATCATCTGTTACATCAATGATGATAAAGGTTGATATAGCAGGTCACGTATCTCTTTTTTATTTTTTTGGCAAGAGCAAAAGAACGCGAGTTTTCTTGCACGAGGCTCGGAGAAGACAATGAAGGTTCATTGTTGCCTGCAACGGGCTCGAATATTGCTGACGCGAAAAACGCGAAATGCTCGAATAGGCGAGAAGATTTTTGAAGTGTCTGACGCAATCTTTTCCCATTTTTAAGTCAGACAAAAAAAACCAAAAAAAAGTTCATTCAAAAAAAAAGGTAATTCAATTCATTATAAAATAATATATAATTAGACAGTCAAGGCAGACACCCTCGCATTTATAGACAGTGTTCGTTCTTTCACGGCTGATTTAAATGTCAAACTACAAAAGCTTAAAGAGTCGTGCTGTTGAGCACTGTACGACTCTGGACTCCCATGGTATATATAGTCTGGACTACCATGTTTCAATGTATTGACTATATTCTATATAGAAATTTACTTCTAAATGATAAAATTAGACGTCAGTCAGCGAAGCATATAAATAATTTCCAAGTTCATTGAGGGCCGCCTAAAATTATCGACTAATTCAACTGATTATCAAATGCCTAACATAGCACGCTACCTACACAGTTTTGAAGCATTTTTCAAAAGAAAGACGGGTCTTAAAGAAATGCAATGGAATATTTTTGATGACAATAATTTTGACGTACTTCAAATTGAAAAAAAAATGAAAATAAAAATAGCGCATGTATTTTCGCACACGAAGTCTTAATACAGCTGTGTTGTCAAGTACGATTTTTTCAACTTGGGTAATTGAAAAAAAATGAGTTAAGGTTCCTAGACCGTTGAAAAACATATAGTTTGGGTAGTTAGTCCATGACATTCAAGTTGCGTGATGTATGTGTTCCGTGTCATGTGATATAATTACACAGGTTTTGATCTGTAACTAAATAGCATTTTTTACAACATACGTTTTTGCAATAATTTAATCGAAATGGCAAAAAGCCATAAGACTGATTTATTTTACAAGTTACGACAGCTCTGTAAAACCTCGTAAGTTCCTCAGATGATAGACATAGAGACACTTTAATTTCCTCGCAATTCGTATAGCAGACGTACAATACATTTAATGTAAAAAATCTTTGTAAAACTGACTAAATATTTGCAGATAGGATGGTTTGGAACGAACAAATATCCGGAATTTGGAGAACATTGTGTTGTTTATTGATCATTATTTTAAATTTAGAAGTATTTGTGAGATTCAAAATTGTCTCCAAAACTGAAATTTAGGTGACACGAAGCCCAATTTCAAAGGCTTTAATAATAATTAATTATAGTATAATTATGAATACTTGCATGCCAAAAGTTTTACTTGGATTTGCTTACTGGGTAAAGACCATACATACATAGATAATACAGAATAATGTCTGGTGAAGAACGACTACATAGTATATCATTTATTGTATTATAACTGGCCCTCTCTCATCTTCCCATGAAATTAGTCTGGAAAAATGTTCTTGCTAAAAAAATAAAAATTAGCGGAAGGAATTAATGTCATTTACGAGTGTTCAAACACGCCTACTTAATGAAACATCGTTATAATAACAGAGTGGTTAGGTTAATAACAGTTGTTGCTAACCAGAATACAACATCTTAAGTGGTGTTGAAGGAGGTGGAGTGTTCGGGCGTTGCTAAATGTCACGCGAACAAAGAAATTTGCTGGATAGTTTATGAATTAAACTTGGCTCAAACCTTTGGATTTTATCATGCAAGAATATGATTATCATTTTGACTAGTTTTTTAAAGATATTTTGAACATGGACTGTTCTTGCTGAAGATATCTAGGGAAAAGCCATCCATAGGCACTATTTGAGCCAAGGAGTGATCAACTGAATATGCATGAACCCTCAAGAGATTAGTTGATATATATTATGCTATATCGTGTCAGAACTGATTCCTGTATATAGTTCAAATTGATAATGACCTATTATGGTTGATTAGTACTATTGGAAAGCTATATTATGTAGGAACAACTAATCGATATTTTTAAGACCCATTTTAAATCATGAACGTATGCATGCAAGAAGTCCATAATTATACGACTTCTAGCTCTTGTATATAAGGGGCAATGGTTCGGGAAAATTATATATTCAAGTACAACTATCGTCGAGAAGAAACACTAGTGAGAACTAATCCTTCTAGCCTTGTCCGTAATTGAAGGGTCTATTTTAAAAATTCTCTTATTTTTTCAATAAACACCCCTTCAACTGTCAATAAACATTTCGTACACATTAGTAGAATTGATACACGCTTCGTCACCCAATTCAGCACCACTAAATTTACTCCAAGAGATGGATTGATGAATTGAATTGAATTTCCATCAATTGAATAGAAGGTGACAGTTTATAATTACTAGTTTTAATCAACATTTCTGGGCGTGTTACAAGAGGTTGTCGCGACGGGTTGTCGAATCATAGGCAAACTTAATTGATGCTAATAACGAGATATTATTGCCAATAACGACAATAAAGATCTCATGATTCCGACAGGAAAATGGAAAGGCGACGTGTCGTTGCTATAATAAACTATAAAAGTTATTGAGTTGTAGCTATCAAAATCTATTCGTAAAGCCGAAAAATCATTGTATAAGGTTTTTCAAATAGATAAATTATAAAATTTCGCCAAGGGTAATCATTATAAAGTCTCTCAAATGAAATTTTGCATATGGCAAACATGACATCATTATATGGCACAACAGTCAACATGAGAGAAAGCAATTTATTCTCATTCGAAGATATAAATGAATCATAAACAGTTCTTTTAAATAACTTTATTTCTTTGTTTGTTAAAATCTAAACTTCATTACTCACAGCATCGAGAAAATGTGCTACTTAAACCCATACTCCATTATTAAATTAAGCAAAATTTTGATAAACTAATATATCCTAAGAATTTACCGATAAGAAATTAAGTTACCCTAACATTTTAACTTATAGTGCCAGCACTATACATTTTATGACTTATGTATATTCTATGCTACAAATGTACATTCTTACAGTGAATTAACTTCGGCGAGCCCGCTCGTTTGAAATACTTTGCTGTTCATATAAGGACATCTATTTTGTTCATTAATTGCATGTTCATTCGATCATTAACACACATAATCAGCAATGAGTTCTCTAATTATTAAGAATCTAAACTCAAAACTACTTAATTTGTTACATAAGAACAAACAAATAGAAGCTTGTCAAAGCTGTTCGTCTAATCTTCAGAGCGATAGGATTCTCATATAACTATGTCTTTGTCATAATTCAAGTTTAGGCGAGCGTTTCAGATCGACACGTAACCAGGCAACTGTGATTTTCCTTCGAGAAAGCTGCTTATGTTTTCGATCGGGTCGATAAGTTTCGAGAAGCTTAATCCTTCACCGAAGGTATTTGTCAGTGGTGTAAGCGTCGTTGATGTTTCGGGTTTTGAGGCGAGGAACGTGGAAAGTGGTTGGTTTGAATTGAGGGGACTTGGTTTTGGTGTTAGCGGCGAAATTGGGTTATTGAAGGTGTCTAATAACTGTCCGTCGTTGTAATCAGGGAAATAGCTCTTTACATCGTTGTTGGTAGCCATTTCAGAGTGGAATCCGTTATTAAACCTTCTGTTGGGAAAGCCTAGATATTCGAGGCCTTGAAATTGAGAGTCAAAGTTATTCAGTGGTGCTAGTGGATCAAATGCCTGTCCTGGGTACAACGAGTTATCAAAATTATTATTATTAGTATTGTTAGAATACACTGGGAACTGTTCTTCGTATCGTAACGGGTATCCACTGGTGCTTGTCGATAGTTGAAGACTGCCCGGGTCACATTTTGCTTGAATTATGTTAAAGAGGTCCTCAGGTTTCAAGTTGTCCAAACGGGCCTTTTTCATCGGAGCGCCATGATGCTTTTTCGCTTTCAAACGCTTCGGGGTGTATTTGTAATCGGGATGTTTCAGCTTGTGCTGTGTTCTCAATCTTTCTGCCTCTTGGATGAAAGGTCTTCGTTCCTCTTCGGGTAAAACTTGCCAAATCTTGCCAAGAGTTTTGCTGAGTTTGGCGTAGTTGAGATTCGGATATTTAGTAGCAACCTTTCTTCTGGCTACCTGTGCGTAGAGCATAAACGCGTTCATGGGCCGCTTCACGCGAGGCTCCTTTTCTCGGCTTGTTTCGTCTCGATGTGCGAGCGCCGAGAGAGATGTAAGGTCTGAACTATGGAGTATGTTCGTGACTGCTTCTGAAATTGCTGGATTCGCTTCATAGGAGGACTTCAACATCGTCATTGCTTCGGGATTCTCAACCATTTTTCTACCGTTTCAATTTGTCCCTTTTAACTATAAATACTTTTTAGTTCGATTGTGTTTCGAACGTAGTTTCGTCTCGTAGCTGTTCGGCTGTGCTGTGATACACGCTTTTTAACTTGTTTTGATAAAAAATCATGCGTGATGTTCTTTTTAAATTACCAAGCGAATATGAAGTGCCTCATTATAAGACAGGAACAATTACGCACTGACATTCCAATGCTAAATTTAAAGAGATCCTGAGGGTGAAGAAACAAGTGTTTTCGAAATGAGAAGATGAGTAGGCGTTTACAGGTAAGATCTATATCCTAGGAGGGCTGGGATTTCGACAACCTGTTGGCCAGGTTGAGTCACATTGAGAAAACGCATCTAGCTATCTCTTCCATCGGGCGCAGAAAATTAATTGTAATTACGATATGCAGATTAGATAGAGTCATGACAGAGCATAGCTGGCTGATGACAGAATTCAGTGGCTTTAGAAAGAGACCACGCTATAGACCACAAACAATTAGGGACTTTTTTCGTGCCAAAAATATTCTATGCAGGCGTATTGGTCCACCTCTTTCCTGTGTTTTTGTCGTGGAAACGCTTAGTACACAAAACCAAGTTGTACAAGATTTCCTGCTTAAAGTTTCGTGAAATTAATGTCATGATATCCTAGATTTTACCTAATTAACCTATGATTAAAGCTATTGGTTACACCATTCTCCAACCTGTCGCCTGGATGGTGCCCAAATAAAGGTCTAAATTAAATCCATCTATAGTCGTACGCTTTACATTACGAAACCTTCAATTTTTACAACACCAGGTGGTATATCTATTTGGAAAAATTGTTCATACAATTTTGAACATAAATATATGTTAATAAGCATACCAGGTCACATATACCCTATCATAATACTATATACCCTCTTGTATGTAATTTTGAAGAAAAGGATTCGAAGAGATTATTTTTAGTCTTAATGTGAAGATATCAAAGTTATTTATGAGCCAGATTAATTTCTTTGAGGGCAAACACGTTTTTTTCTGGGTAGAAAAATGCATGAAAAGGGCATGCAGTTTGCCAGATTCTTTGAATAGTTTTGTTATTATTAAATAGAGTTCAACAATTGCATGAGATATGCAAGAAAACCTCCCTCTTTCCGACCTAAGGGCCTACTTAATTTTGAAAGCAAAGTTCAAGTTAATACGATGTGTTTTGTTGGTGGGAAAATGTTTACACAAACTTGCGTCATTTTGGCCTTTTAAGAATTAATGAAAAGGCAATTAAAATTTTTATATACTGAATGATTTTCATTCAAAGATATAAATGCTTAAAGTGGATATTTCCTTGTGGATCAGATAAGGAGTCTTCAATTTATGTTTTATGATTAAGCGCAAGAGCGGGAAGAAGCACACACGAACGTTTCAGCCGTGCTGTAGTTGTTTACAACACCATATTTGCACCAGCATTATATATGCAGCGTAAATGCAATATCAAATTGTTACAATTTACTTTGTTAAGTACCGTATAATATCTGCTCATATTCTATAACAATGTAATAAATCAATGTCGCAAATTATCATTAAGATCATTTTTGTTCCTTACTAGGAAATAGCTGGACGGCATTATATTGCATACGCGCGTCAGCATTCTGACCATAAGTGATCATTAAAAAACGATAATATTCACCATTGATATAATACGCTCTTTATGAAACGTTTAAAAATAAAAATGAAGCAAATAGATGAAATAACAGTAGATTTTGATGTTCTATGCATATTTTAAAGTGGTTATCTCAACAACAGAGCAATATATTACGGATTATACAGTCGATATTTTCCGCATTACACAAAACAATATATAAAAAACAATACTTTTTTTACAAATGGAAAGTGCTGGAATGGAAAGTGTCGGGTAATATTAATTTATTACTAGTTTTTGACTAACAGGGAAGATATCATTTTCGCAGAATCCAGGAAAAGAGACCAAAGTAGAACATAGAAAACAATTTAAGCCCAAATTCATCCATCTTTCCTTATAAGGGCCTTCAGATGTTGTTGTGGCTTCTTCTTAGAGCAAAGTTTGGTTAGTTGCGGTCAATTCGAAGCGGCCTATCGCAGCAGACAAAACATCGTGTATTTTCCTGTGATCAACATACACTTGTTGCTATTTAGAAAGCTCCATTTGAAAAAGTGAGATTTGATCGAGAAAGCAAGATTTGAATTTTTAACAATCGAAACTTGCTAATTGGAATGATGGCCCAGTTAATAAGCGGTTTCATGTGATAAATGGCCGCTCGCCAGAATCCCCACCAACGCAAAAAAATTAAGCCAATATCACGAGGTTTACTGGCTCACTTTTCGACTGCCTTCCTAGATGACCTTAATCGACCTTTGCGGTTAAATGAAATCAATTGACGTCCCAACTTGTACGAGATATTTACATGCTCGCCGGAAAATTGGTTTGAGAGAGAGAAGAGGGAAGCTAAAATTGATGCCCCACCCTACAGATTATAGATTTCTGGGCTAGGATTCTGATTATGTCTATCTCGCCTTAGAAAAGAGAGGGAATCCCCTTTACCACCAAACACCGAAGACCGAACCCGCCTACCGCCTTTGGGGTTTCGCATGCATGGGAAAATAAGTGAAGTAAAATTTCCCACTTTATTCGAAAACCGAGGTTGAACGACTTCCTTGATTACTGACACAATGCATATTGTTTCGCTCTCTGCAGAATACAATTCTTGTAGGCGTCTGTACTTATAGTGCAACCATGCTGACGCCATGGTCTACATTATAAGGTAATTAGGTTTAGCTAATAGCTATACGCTGCATATTGGGTCTTGAACTTATGATTCATAATAGGGAAATCTCTTTAAACTCCAAACGTAATCATTAAAAATAGTTGACTTTGTATATACGATCGATACTTTTCACTGAGCAACTTTCTTAAACAGGGAATCTGACGAGCTCTGCATATGGATAAAACCCATCTCACAGTGTTATAGGCTTTACACGTGAATGCAAAGATATGCCCCATTCAAGGTCAAATGTTTCAAACGATGGTAACTAAGCACGTTTTAACGTCTGAGTGAACACGCCACGCGGCACGCACGCACGAAAATCTTAAAACCTTTTTAGTGTCACATATGAGTTACGAAATATTGACAACAACTAATAAACAGGATTCGGAGTTTGGTGAGATTTCTAGCCTACATGCAATGCTTTACCTATTTGTATAACATATTAAACGGACTAAAACAGTTGAACTGGAAAGGATTTCATAGAGTTTTCAATAGAAAAAACCCCACTTAACTAGAAAGTTATATGGCTTGAATGTTGAGGCAAAACATTACTTGGGGTATTTGCCATTTTACGTAGAGACATTCCCTCGAATGAGACATGGTATGTATATAGCTAGTTATAATTCATTACAAGTTAGCCTCTTGAAATGCATGTAAGAGATGTATGTATATAAAGATGATCTCAATAAAGGCATTGCATGGAATCAGTGACAAACGTAATACGCTATACTCACATGAAAAGCTCTTTTAGTTGTTAAATTGCAGTATATTTGTCGACATGTTTTGACATGTTTAGGCTGAGGCCAAAACAAGCGATGCGAATTAACTCTTTAAAGGAGGTTGTGGGCGTTGCAATAAAAAAGAAGAAAATAATCTAACATCGAGTATGATACTCAAAGCAAACATAATTGGTGTTAAATTTGAGAAAAGAGATTGGGATTCAGATCCTAAATAACTTAAATACGTCTACGAAACTTTTCGAAAAGTGCTCTTAGTGCGATAATCGTCTGTTCTCACAAGCACATAAGCATCACATCTATATATAAATATATATAAATATATGGCGTTGCATTGTCCGCCAAAAAGCAAGCTACTTTTGTGCGGCTCGATTCGGACATGAACTACTGAAAACTTATATTCATTTCATACGTTCAACAGCTTTGTAAATAAACAAGTTGAGCCACAATCATGTTGTCAGGTGTACTTAAAACTCTTGAGGTGCTGAATAGTTTTGTTGCTTCTAGATTATTCTCTATTACTGGTCTGTATCGTCACACCCACTAAATTGATAGTAAATACTAGATATACCTCATCAGCTCTACAATTTTTCCTTCCTGTATCCAGGCGTTTATCGTCTAGGGACATATTCTTTGTCTATAGTCAATGCACGAAACTCCACATGAACTATTATGGTAAAGCTGTTTATAAAGTCTATTTAGAGAGTTTGTCTCACACTCTCACTGCATTTGCGTCCAAAGAAGATGGTGTACTTCGATCGGAAAATCACGTCGCTGCATGGAAAATATCACGAACTAAGTAAAAGCCTGTATGATGTAGTCAGGTTTTTAGAAGGTCTCACCCCAATGCTATATATAGTGCTCTTATACATCGAGTATCTCAGAAAGAAATATTGATAGAATAAAGTCAATAAACAGACGCACTGAAACAGGTTGAATGCCCAAAAAGAGTATACTTCCGATGTATAAGTTGATCTTTGTTGAACCTATCATTCGTGATAACAAGTCAAGCCTTGGTAAAGGCAAAATCGTATCAAAGGCGAAATCGTCAAGGCAAATCGTATACGCTTGAGAAAACGTAACAATTACACAACTATATATATTTCTTTATAACTTTCCAAAGATTTGTAAACCGGCTTGGAAGACTTGCACTATCCGTTAGGGATATATACTGAGTCTGTCTTATACTAAATAACGTTGTAATTACGTCTAAAAATTGCATTTTTCATGAAACATATTCTAGATTTTTCTTGATAAGTGCTAGCATATAGAAGTATCTCGTTTTCCGCAAAACGTACGCACGATGGTGAAATTGATCAAATTTAAAATTTGTTTAAAGCATTGGGTTTGAAGCCTGCTTTCCACTTATGCGTTTTGTTATATATATGCACGTACACGCACAGAAATTTTTAAATGCTATTGTTAAACGTCTAGATCAACAAACGCGTACTAGAATATGTGGAAAACTAAGTTCTATCAATTTATCACTTAGTTATTTCAAACATATATATAAGAATAAATATATATATATATATATAAGAATTTAGAATTTTACGTTCGTATACATGCTTGCGTGCATGTAAAAAACACTAAGTGGAAAGCAACCCTTACTCTTCGAGAGATCCAACGCGTTTTTGCCCAGCTAACCTATAATTAACGATATAAACTTAGCTACTATAGGTTCAATTTTTATGTTCATTTACGTAAGCACGTAAAAAAAACCACCACAGTAGGTGGTGCTCCGTCCGGCTTTTTGAGAGGTGCTGCAGCCTAGGTGCTCGATCAACCAATTCAAGGTATTTTGTTATTGAAGAGTATTCTACTATAGACAAATGTAACATTACAAGGCTTGGTAAATCCAGGCTGTTGTTAGTTATACATGCAGTGGTAGACGTATTGTATTTTGTTGTGCTGTGTTACGACATGCATGGCAATCTACCCACGTTGGTCTTCAGTGCCAGTGGTCACGTTGCAGAACCTTTTCCCTATCATGTGCCTAAGAGGCTATAGAACAAAATAGATTTCGTTACCTTCTATAACGTAAAGAATGGTTTTCGCATTTTTATTCAATCGCTTAAGAGTTGATTAACTAAATTGTCATGGAATGCCAGCTAATTCGCTATAGTAGGAATATATACCTATTTGCTATGGTAGAAATGCTTATTTGCTGTAGAAGAATTGCTCGAAGATCAATTGACTCATTGATTTTGCGTCATGTAATTTCTTTCTCCTTCCTGGATGCCCTTGAAAGCTCCCACCCTCTTGGTTTCCTCCCGAACCCCCACAGCTAACCACCCGGGAAGCAATCACAAGTATCGTTGTTGGAAGGAAGTTTAGCGTCAGACACGATGCAACAGATGAAAATCACCATCAATCTTCTGACGGTTATAGTTGTGAGTTCATTTACAACGATAGACGTGCAATTCAGCGATACAATTTGTTTAATAATCAGCAGAAATCATTATCTCCACGGAAAGTTATAACCATGCATACAATACAATATATCGCTCCTTTGTATGGACAAAACCTATCACTGTCAAGCTATAATGATTCTTATTTGTTTTGGAACAGGTTTTGACAATCTCACACGTAATATATTGTTGTATAAGTCTTGAAAAATATGTACAAGATATTCTTTTACGATATCGGACCTTTTCTTAGGAGGAACAAACTGAAGTAGGCGTAATATAGAAGCGTTCCAACTAACTGAAGCACTTGTAACTAAAGGGAAAAACAAGTCGAGACAAAAACGCATTTGTCATCATCATTGCAATAGCACAAGATCACATGCCTTCCAAGAAATAAAACAAACAGAGAAATGCAATGCCCCTAATTTGTGTCAGTATATTTATGATTGAAATGTTTGAGTTGATATAACAACTTTCAAAATGATTTGACGATCTATCCGTTTTCAAAGAATTTATAATTCACTGTGCCATCATTATTCCCAATTCATGTTACATCATTATTGCCTATCATTGGTTTTTAATTGAAGCACCCTTGCAAATCTCGGGACTTACTTATGATAGCCTATCGCGGATGCATCTGTAAGTGATTTGCCGATGCAGAAGTCAGAGAAGGTCAAGAAGATGGTACACGCGTGACTTTCTTCATTATGCGAATATCACTTACGAATGCTTTTTTTTTAGGAAATAAGATGAAGTAACTCTTACGTATCAGGAATTAGCATCAAGGCGACGACGTTCAAGGTATGATCCGTCGGTTTATGACAGAAAATATTAATCGTGCAAAACCAATCAACTTATCAGAGTATATACCAATTTGATAACAGCTTCAGCGTCAACTTCGGAGAGTTTGGCATTTCAGAAAGTTTTGAAACGAGTCGAAGAACAACAGATATTTTAAATGAAGCGGCTGGTGTTATCAAAACAGGTATAAGATATCCCAGGGATGGCATTAGTAACGAAGGCTTTATCTAACACTTTGAATAATATGGCGTTGAAATGTCTAAAACATAACTTATTTCCACAAAGGTGGCAAGAAAAACGGGATGGAAATAAAAACATTTAAACGTCAAGAAAACTTCGTATATTCTGTCTCTCAATCGTAACCCACAAGGTCAGTCGATATCTACAAAAAATCTTTTCAAAATTGACAAGTACACTGGCACGATGGATGATGATTATATAAGACAGCCAATGTTGGGGACTAATTTTACTTTCGAGGGGATCGATAGGGAGAAAGTGTTTGGATGGAAAGTGATAACACGGAATACAATAGGACAAGAAAGGATATAAACAAATAGTAGGTTAGGATAGTAGGATGAGGATGGGTTTGAATATGATAGCAATGGATAAAGTATGGTAAGACAGAGTATGAAAGGACAGTGTTTGATGTATAGATACGATTGGGGAAGGAAAATGATAGCATGGGATATTCTATGATAAGACAGGGTTTAGAGGGATAAAGTATGATAGATGAGGGGCACATGATAAAAAAGGTGTATTATTAAGAGGTTACTTAGTCGACCTGCAATGTCGACCTGTTTTGAGACATGTAAAGCCATGATACTAAAAACTTAATCAATTAACATATGAGTTGTATCAGCTAAAATTAAACTTTCTATTTCTATAATACTGGCAGCAATACTTGAAGCAATACTGTCTTAATGTCGTAATTATAAAAGTGTTTGTACCCTTTACAAAGAATGCCAAAAATTGAACTATACAATGAATATTAAAGCACAAAAACACTATAATAGTCTAGAACTGCGAAACTGTGATATATTCGCACCTAATTCGCACGTATCATACAAGAACTCAAAATACAATGCAATATTTTCAATTTAATAAAGTTCAGGTAGAAAATCGCGTGCTATAGATTTGTGTAGCAATTAAAGCAATCAAACAAGGACATAATTATGGGTTGTAAAAGCGGGAGAGCGTGAAAGAGCGTCTTAGTTCAGCACTTCGTACGAACGTCAGCAAATAGGCGGGAAAGTAGTAAACAGGAAAACACGAGTGTATGACTCATGGTCATCTTTCATCACCAGCAGAAAGAACTTTATCGAAGAAGCACAAAGAAGCAATAAACGATTTCCTTTGACATCCTGTCCAAATTTTAAGAACCCGAGATGTTCCTTGCTTGTCTTTACTTTGTATTTATACTGGGATGGATAACTCTATAAGTTCCAAACTGTTCTTCTTAAAGGTCCTGTAGAGATCACTCTTATTGATCCAGTGTTACTACAGGAGGAAACCTAAACTAAACTAACTTTATTTATACTGGATAGCTCTATCAGTTCTAAACTGTTCTTCCTAGAGGTCCAGTAAGGATCATCTCTTATTGATCCAGTGTAACTACAAGAAGAAACCTAAACTAAACTAACTTTATTTATACTGGATAGCTCTATCAATTCTAAACATTTCTTTCTAGAGGCCAGTAAGGATCATCTCTTATTGATACAGTGTTCCTACAGGAGGAAACCTACTAAACTTTTTTTTTTAAACTGGATGGCTCTATCAATTCTAGATTGTTCTTTCTAAAGGTCCAATATAAATCATATTTTATTCTTATTTATTCATCCAGTGTTACTACAGGAGGAAACCTAAACTAAACTAACTTTATTTATACTCGATAGCTCTAAACTGCCCTAAACTGTTCTTCCTAGAGGTCCAGTAAGGATCATCTCTTATTGAACCAGTGTTACTATACACAGTTGTTGTACGCACTAAAACGCTGTGAGGTTTTTAATCTTTAGAGACTAAAAGAGATATATACCGCATCTCTGAAACTAACAAGAATTCGTTGAAGGAAATTAAGGATCAAGGAAGATATTGACACCAGTGAATATATTTGTAAAAAAAACAACAGAACAGCAGTTCATTGTGAGTTCTATTTACTATATTATAGGGCCTAGATTAAAATAAATACTTTTGACTTTTCATAATCAAGCATTATTCATAGCACGCGACTTAACTTAAGTGTTGCCAGATGTTAACAGCAAATGTTGCAGTCATTCATCTGACGTTTGGTTTGCCATGCGTACTTCAAATATCATTAAGGAGGATCTGACTCATTTGATTAGGCAAATATTTGTGAGCGCGAATGTATCTTAATCCCAATAAAAAATGCATGGCTCTACTTTATGTATCATTCAATGCTAAATTTTTTTGCAAGCCTGCATGCTTTTTATATCAAAACTGTAAAAGGTTATGTCATTAAATCCTCAGGATATTAAGGTACAAGTAGTCAAGTATTAAATTGGAAGTCAAATATACGTTTGGTATGTCATATAAAAAAATATTTTTTTATCCTAGGACGTGGAAATGAACATGAAGGTAAGTAACTCGGCTGCATTATAAGCGTCTTGAAGGATAGACGCGTTTTTAGCAAAGGAACGTCGTAATTTAAAAGCGGTTTGAACCCATCAAAACTAAGTCAATATGAGCTAATAATTTCGATATATTAGACCCGAACACAAGGCTTCAAAAAATGATAGAAAACCGTTTTGGCTTAATTCCCCATCTTCTCGATAAACACACGTTCTGATTGAAAAAGCCTCCAATTAATACTGTAATCTCTATTGTGCACGAAGAATATTCCATGTTTAAAATCAATAATATATATTTGTACAAACTACAGCACAAAGATTCCTTCTTCGGTCGTGAATCCAAAACAAAGAGAACCAGTGTGTCGGTATTCATTACTTTCCAAAGATACACTAACATTCAAAAAGCGTTTAAGAGCAATATAATAAAAGACATGTATCTTTTTGGGCAATCTTTTAAAATTAAAAAAGAACTAGGCGGAGTAAATATATATATCCTTCTTTGTGTGGTTCACAAGAGGGTCGTGAGAACACAAGTTTATTACTCGAAATATATCGCCATTTTACACAAAAATAAGTTGGCAACCGCAGCAAGCAGGTACGCCATTGTATACCTTGGATTCACTCAACCCAGTTTTTTTTCTTTGATTTCCATGGATATGTTCGTATGCATGCAAGATAAATTTTTAGATGATTTTCGTGGACTTGTATTAAAGAAGCTCAACGCTTTAACACAAAGAGGGAAAGAGAAGCTTAGAAAATATTTATATTGGATGTACAAGTTCAGAAAGAATGTCAGTTGGGACCTAAGGACACTGGTTCACGAAATACTTCAAGACTATTCTTTGCCGTAAAAATTTTATCTATCATTTTAAACCGATACAAAATAAATTCCAAATTTCTAAGCCACAAAAAAATATTTGCCGCGAATATTTTTGCTTATTTCTTAAAAGTTTATGATGAACGAGGGATATTACCTACGTATTACCAAGTGCAGTTGCAAATGGGATCTACTTAGGGATCACTTAACGAACTAGCGGAAAATAGTTGCTATCTCATAAAGAATGCTCTTTGTCAAAACAGACACCTATACTGTTCAAACGAATAAAGAACATAAAAAATGCTTTGTGATCGAGTGGCACAATGTGTTTTGATCCTTTGTGACACCTTGAAAATCTGATCATTAAAATAATATAAAACTATGTAAATAGTTTTGATATCTGTTAAATAGCTTGATATTCTTCGTTTGTTTCAAAACGTACATACTAATATACAACTTTTGTAAAAATATGAATCTGACAATTTGCCAGATTTTTGACCTCAGCGTTGGAATATAAAATAGTCAGAGTGCATGTCTTTAATTTCTTTGTAAAAGAGGTGAGATTCTCAGAGATTCTGATAAGACAATGGAAAACGAAAGAAAAACAAAAAAAAGCTCAACAATTTGGGTCTAAAATTTACATCATAAAGTTGGTTAACAATATAAAGTGAAAATTTTGGCAAGTAACAACAAAGTACTTGGGTATTTTTAGCCAGTTGTCTTGGTTGCTCTTTGGGCAACATCCATCCACTTCCTGCATCTCAGCCAATCAAACGTGTCTATTTAATTGAATGCAAATACTCTGGCAGTGATAAAGGACAGTTTTCCGGCAGAAGAACGTCAAACACGCGATGAAACTCAACCGAGTGAGACACTAGATTTGTTGTGCAAGAAAAAGTACTAAAACAAACTAGTTTCATTTGGATATTTGAACAAGAAACACGAAATTATTTGAGGTACAACTTCAAACGTCTTCTGAAGAGAAATTTATCATTTTGGAACGGGAAACGAATCAGAATAAGAAGAAGCTGAAATTACTACAAATTTCAACTCGAACCATGGAAGATAAACAGCCGCATAACTACACAGAAAGCCTTGGAACAAACTCGAAACTTCATGCTGCCATTTCTAAAACTGTCAACCAGGTTATCGAGAAGACTGATTTGAGCCTTCAACACGCACCAGCAGAGGGCAGCGGTTATGCGCGGGATCAAGGCACAGATCACGTGAAGCGTCCCATGAACGCGTTTATGGTGTACGCTCGAGCTGCGCGCAAAGAACTGGCACTACAGTATCCCAATCTCAGCTACAGAAAGTTGAGCAAAATCTTGGGTCAGCTGTGGAAAATGCTGGACGAAAAAGAGAAACAACCGTTCATTGAAGAAGCTGAAAGATTGAGGCGGAAACATCGCTCGGAACATCCCGACTACAAATACCAGCCGAAGAAAAAGGCGAAGAAGACACGAAGTGAAGAAACCGAGAGTACGAGCACGCCACGGAGCGTCCCGATAACCCACGACTTGACACGAAAGGTTGGCGAGCAATTGCGAACGAAGCAAAGCTTGGATTCTCGTTTTCCCACTCCAGCTTGGAACTATGGTGCAGCGTCGCTGCCGATGACTATCAAACAAGACTCGTACCGCAGCGTCCCGGAGTTCTCACCTGCAGCTGGGATGAATCAATACTTGACCACTTCGGAGAGTTTGGACAACAACAAGCTCTTCTCCAGTCTTCTAACCGAGGCTGCGCAACGCGGGAGCCTGAGACTAGAAGACACGACGAAGAATCTCGCATCTTCAATACCCGGACCCAGTCTCCGAGAAACCTCGCCTCGTTTGATCAACCAGTATAACCTGCTACAAAGACCTCTCGGAAGTGTGGCACACCCGGAGTTCCCGAAAGGGCTGTCATATTTTCCACCAGCCTTGTTTCAGAAGACGACAGGAGGGCTTTTTGAGGCAGAACAGCATCAACCAAGCTATCCTACGACTGTCGACAGACTAGTGCCTGTAACTTCGGCAAACAGAGGAAGAGGTGAACTCTACCTACGGGTATAAAATAGGAAACAAACAAATTAAGAAAAAGTACAATAAATTGTGTACAAATGGATTAAAGTAAATTAAAATAAAACTCCGATTATAATGAAAACAATTGTTTGAAAGCTTTGGGCTAAGATGGACTAATTTGCCCATATAACTAAAAGTATAAAAAAGAAACCGTTTTAATAATAAACATATTGCACTATTTTGTGATATAACGAGGTAATACTGATCATATACCTCACATTCTTTATCTAAACCAAAGGTTTTTTATATATTTATAAACAGTTCGGTTCACTAAGTCACATTCTGAACGAATCTACTGTCAGCTACCTTCAAGATTCTCAATGTAAAAAAGGACAATCTAAGGATATATTATAAATATATTAAAATTTTATGTGTCATATCAGAGATGGCATAAAAATATGATGAAAATACAGTGTAAATTAAGTCCGTTTATATTGTTTCGAGAAAGAAAGTATATTTGAACTAAAAGGTGCCGAAGTCCAAGGGAAACTTGAGAAAACCTTGTTTTATTTTACACAGAAAGACTGAGGTCTGAGGTTGATATTTTACAAGTACACCTAAGTTAGATCTAAAAAATTGAGTATAGAATTTTAGATATATATAAAAATCTATTTATGTTATCTTACATCATGCACAGCCTATATCCATTGCTTGAACGCGCTCTCTGAAGTTTGATATAAGCAATATGTTCACACGCGCAATATTACATGTTTGTATTTATAAGGAAAAATGTGGGTTTAAAGGTTAGATCACTTCACACCAAGTTCAAAATGTTTCGAAGTTTAAATCTGCCAAATAAGCATCGATCATAAACATGTTGACAGGCTGTTTCTTTTTATAAAACTGGTTAAAATATGTATTCATACGAAAATGCAATTTAAACTTGCTTTCTCAGTGGAAACCTGAACTAACCAATTTGATTTACACCGGATAGCTCTGCCAAATCTAAACTATTCTTCTCATAAAGATGTAGTAAAGATTATCCAGTGTTACGACAGGAGGAACCTAAACTTTATACTAAAAGACTTTATTTATATATACTTAAAAGCGGTATCAAGTCTGAAGTTTTCTTTCTAGAAGCCAAGTAAGGATCTCTCATTAATGCCGTGTTCCTACAGGTGGAAACCGAAGTAGCTAACACTAAATTTATTAAGAATAATTTCTATAAGCTGTTCTTCATCGAGGTCCATGCAGTAAGGATCATCTCTTATTGATCCAGTGTTACTACAGGAGAAAACCTAAACTAGACTAACTTTATTTATACTGGATAGCTCTATCAGTTCTAAACTGTTCTTCCTAGATGTCCAGTAAGGATCATCTCTTATTGATCCAGTGTTACTACAGGAGAAAACCTGAACTAAATTAACTTTATTTATACTGGATAGCTCTATCAGTTCTAAACTGTTCTTCCTAGAGGTCCAGTAAGGATCATCTCTTGTTCATCTAGTGTTACTACAGGAGGGAACCTAAACTAAACTAACTTTATTTATACTGGATAGCTCTATCAGTTCTAAACTGTTCTTCCTAGAGGTCCAGTAAGGATCATCTCTTATTGATTCAGTGTTACTACAGGAGGAAACCTAAACTAAACTAACTTTATTTATACTGGATAGCTCTATCAGTTCTAAACTGTTCTTCCTAGAGGTCCAGTAAGGATCATCTCTTATTGATCCACTGTTACTACAGGAGGAAACCTAAACTAAACTAACTTTATTTATACTGGATAGCTCTATCAGTTCTAAACTGTTCTTCCTAGAGGTCCAGTAAGGATCATCTTTTGTTCATCTAGTGTTACTACAGGAGGAAACCTAAACTAAACTAACTTCATCATAGTGCACAATTCTATATATTCTTATTTTGAAAACAATCAAATTGGCGCCATTCTTATTGGTTCACGGATTCCCAAACTACTCTCCAGTACGAAATGAATTTTTCAAAACAGAAAGAAGAGCGATGCATGTGTTTATTGATGGAAGATTAATTAAAGTGGAAAGCGGAAAATATATGGGTTATTGAAAACAGTCAAACCCTGTCTTCCTCATAGGACTAAGCGACAAAATTAAACCTCAATTGTCAAACAACTGCCTTAATGATCAATCACGAGGGGACAACACCCCAATCCCTAAATTCATAGTTGTAACCATACCGACAAGCAAAGGAAAGTTATTGCGTTTTATGTCCACAAATATGTACCCAGGAAAACGTCCCATAGATTATATTGAGGTGTAGAAAGTATTTGTCGATGAAATATACTTCAATCGCAAACATCTATATTATAAGTTAGTTCGGACGAGATAGCCAAAAATCTCCATATTGTCCATTTGGTGACGTTTTTAAAGTTGCAGACATCACGACTCCTCACAGGTTGTTAATTCAACACAACTTGACACTTCCTCTTAACGTCGAGAGGTGAAATTTGTAACAATCCGTGTGGTACAAAGACCTCTTCAACTTTATAATATCAACTATAGGCTGAGGCCACTTCATGTCCTCTCAGGAAAGAACACGCCAGAATTCCTACACTAACATGTCAGTTGTACTTTCTTACAATTGCCTAGTTGTTCTGCGTGCTCTTAATCTCTGCTCAAATAACTTTTCGATTGATTCTTCGTCGATTTTCCCAAACTATACGCTCTTTAGAGGAGGTTTAATGACACCTTGAAAGCGGTATAACACGCCCATATTACCCTCGTGTTTTTTAACGAAATACTATCCTAGCTTCAATTCATTTGTAAAATAAGCGAAAGTACAGATACAGAAGACCTCAAAAGTTCGTTTGTATGCGGTAGAAAGTTTCAATGGGAGCGGTGAGGAGAGAATTTGCACGCACAGTTTTGCCATAGTGACAATATAATCATCCGGAAAAGAAAAAATGTTAATAGCTCATGATGGCTGTTTAATGGTGCTTAGTTTCTATATATATAATCATTTGTGAACATGCAAAATTGAATCAGAATAATACATGTCAAACCGCACACTCTAGTAAACTGCACGATTATCCAAATTACCAGTATTTACCACAATTACGGTTATAATTGTCTTGACCCTTTTACAATATGAACGCATATCCATAACGACTAATTACTGTTATTAAAGTCTTTCTTGACCATGCACGGATGCAACGACTATTATTATCACAGCAAAAAGGCAACGCCATGCAGAAAATGACCTTTTGTATGGAGATTTAACTGTAATTTTTTTCAAAATGCATATACTATGGGAAATGGCGATTAGTATGGATATTCTATACTTTTTCCATACTATAGCCATAGTATGAAAATGGCAATTAGTATGGACATTATTTGAACTTTCATACTTTTTCCAAGTAGCATCTATACTATACCTATATCTTTATCCAGTGTTTCGAATGAGCGAGTCATTGCATTCAACTACATGAATCGTTGTTAGTTTAGAGAATATTCATCGCTTCCTGATCAATTACACTATTTTATCCACAAATAGTGAAAACTCTTTATTTCTGAAATGGTTGCTTTTACAAACTTATATGCCCTCTCTCAAACAGCTTTTTCTCTGAGAGGAAGCTGTCAAAATTCATGTCTTAATCGTTTTCTTACAGATTAAAAGGTCTAATTGTAACAGAGAGTACACAGATATATATATTAGAGGATTTTCAGGCATTTTTTCGAACATTATTATACAAAATTTTTATCATCATTATGTTATGAACATAATAATCCGTGATTATTGTACAGTGCACTGGACAACGATGAGAAGAAATTAAAGGTATTGTCAACAAGATATCGTTTTTGAGGGTCAGTTTCAATCCGTTTTCATTACTTGTTTTGACAATCGGTGATATGGTCCTTTGGAAAAAAATAATTCGCTACGACATTTGAGAACACAAACGTAAATATGAACAAGTCACGGAAAAACAACCTCTTTATTTTGAAAACGACGGCTGCGCAACTGAGTTTATACCTGCAGTGGTTAAAGGACTATAAATTACCAGCAAGCGTTTGCTTATGGTAGTAAAAATTACAATTACAACTCAGAATTAAAACAGAAAATGGCGTTTCTTAAAACGGTTGCGGGTAAATAAAACCTAGTGTTGAAGTATTGCGTGACTCGCACCCCACATCCTGGGGCAATTTAAATTTGCCAAAAAATTTGTTTAAGAGCAAACGTCAGGTGATAACGACAAAGACGACAAAATCACGATTAGAAATGGCTTCGAATTATCGCGATGTGAAAAAAAATAATAAGTGCGTTCAATTAAAACTGTTTTCGATTAAGTTAAGTCTTAAGAAGCCCTTTTTATACTCCGAAGTTGAAATATGCATGGTCATCCCAGTACAGTATTCTTGACAAGTTTTTAATGTCAGTCTTTATAATAGCCTAATTATAAACATAATTCTTGAAATATGTATACAATTCTTTTTCTATTTTATTCTAGAGGTTATTTTAAAGCGATACCACAATCCTGAAAATATTTGTACAATTAGCGTGGGAACAAAATATAGATGTGGAAACAAAATACAATATGGAATTATAAATATCATGCATAAACCTTCACTATATTCCATGCTTCTATGCTGTATGTGTCATTTCGTGTTGATCAAGCATTATACTACCACAAAACATGTACAATTTGGTACAGCTAATTTCAAACTCTAAAGAAATGGGTGTGATGTTCAAATTTGGTCGAAATTATCAACACTTAGTGTTGGCGAGATAAAATTACAGCCTATGCAATTTCATAATAAAATACACGTAAAAATATTCTCGTAAAATCTCACGCAAGCGAATCTTTTAAGAAGTCTATGAACGTAGACGTTTATTGATGTAGAAACAATTCGATTTATCCTAGAAATTTTAAGAATTATTATATGTGCTCCATAAAATTTAAAATAGGTTCATTTCGGGATTGCGTTGAGCTTAATTCAGCAAACATGCTTCTGGTATATGGCGTTTCCATCGTGTTTGTTGCAGGTAAGGTATTTGTATTGGTGATTGGGCCCGTAGGACGGGTGAACGAGGTGATACCGCGAATTCCAAGGCTATAACGATCGCTTGTATACGGCAAATTCTCGATAGAAGATGCTTGCGAATAACTTTCGGAAAAAGGGGAAGTATTTGTGTGAGCAAAATGCGCCCTTGTTGTGATATAATCGCTGGAACGTTCCGGCAGCGAGGCGATGGAGTTATTTTGAGAGCCAACCCTGCCATGGCTGGGATCTTGAGGTCTTCCAAACATTGATCCTTGTCCGGGCAGTTTCATATCGTGTTGAGCAGAGTGTTCCGTGGGATTAATGTAGTGTCTTTGACTCGTGTGGGGGAAACTAATAGTGCTATTAGCAGTAATTGTTGAAGCACTGGGGAATCCTCTTGTAGAACTGATATTGTAGCCGCTGTCGAGACGATGGTACTCGCTCGTATTGCCTGTTATGAAAGGCCATATAGTGGACACTGCAGCAGAATCATTACGGGAATGATAAGGGGAGTTTAAGACATCCCCTGCCGAGCAAAACTCGTCGTTAGTGTAATCTGTCTCTTGTGCCATCAAACTAGTTTGGTTAGGATTCATCACTCCGACACCAAACTGTGATACCGTTTCTAGCTCGGATTGTTTCTCAGCTTTCTTTCTTCGGCGCTGAGGTTTGAACTTGTAAGTAGGATGAGCTCGTTTGTGTTCGCGTCGTAGTCTCTCGGCCTCTTCCACAAAAGGACGACGTTCATCGTCATCTAGCATACGCCACAACTCCCCCAGCGTCTTGCTTAACTTGCGATAACTCAAGTTCGGATATTTTCCCGCCACTTTCTTTCTTGCAACCTGAGCGTAGACCATGAACGCGTTCATAGGACGGCGAACCTGATTGTCGTTTTGCTTTCGTCGCTTGCTCGAGCTCGGAGCTTCACTCGTAAGCTCAGATGTTTCGTTCATAACATGATTCACAGTTTTCGAGATGACATCATTGAGATCCGAATTTGACAGCATATCACTTCGACAATCTAACCCTTCGGCCATTATTCTAACGAGGAATACAAATATTTCAAGGTAAACTTCTTATATGACACGTATAATATCCCTAACTCAGTTCCTTCGCTCTGTTTTGATTATGCAATTTTTTGTCAGCGCACACGAGCTGTCAAATGAGCTCAAAGCTATTTTGTTCAGAGCTGAAATTGAATCGATAATTTTTATTGTTACGAATTGGATCTTTCGCAGAACGATCTAAAGACACAGAACGTCAACTTTCGTTACTTTTTCCATGAATTGCTACACTATGCTTGAATGGAAACTTAAACTAAGATCTCTTCAGCGCTCTGCAAGCGCTTCCTTTGTCCTCGAGAGGTTCGTAAATCGTGACAGTTTACAACCAAGAATAATTTATCGAACTTAACAGTTGCAATATTCTGCCCTTGTTTCTCTAAATCTCGGACGTTTTAAGAAATGAGTTCTTTTTTTCAAATCAAAATTTTCACTCTAAGTGTATTGTATATAGCTACTACAAGAAGTTGGCAGTCGTTGCTACGTACATTATCTTCTTCACACGAACGAACACTTGTACTTTTTTATTTCAACTCTTGCGGGTGTACTTTATTATGACAGTCTTCCTGTACTAGTGAGCCACCACTTCGTTTTTTTCCACCTCACGGTACATTTACCAGTATTCAAGTTAGCTATATCATCAAATATGTAGGTATTTCCAAATTATGCCTTTGGTCTATTTTTATGCTGTCAGAACGTGGGGTTGTCAAACGTTTGGAAGTTCCAACCAATCACCGTGCAGCGATATGGGTTATAATTAGAGCTGTGATGGGTAGGCAAGTTCCTGTGATATAATTGATGCTCGTGAATGAGGTCCAAACACTTGTTGACTTCCTTTTTACGTTCATGCCGGACACGACACCAAGGTGAACTGTCAGTTACGTCTATATGCCACTCGGGGGAACTGGGTTTTAAAATAGGCTCCTGACGTAAACGGTGGCAAGGCACAACAGACTCAGATCAGTAGAGAATTGAAGAGCCTCGCTTAGCAACAGAACAAGATTGCAGTGAACTTACAGCAGTAATGCAAGAGAACTCGTGTCGAAGTGTAGTTGAAAACACTTCCAACTTGCCTCTAACTGTAATGCTCGACCCACGCTCACGCCGCGTGCGATTTTTTGAAATTTCACAGCAAAAAAACAGCCCATTGAAGAGCAAGTGTTCATGAAAGAACTAGGAAACGTTAAAATGCCCTTTTGTGTTAAGTATTTTCAATAATGCTATATTAAGATCAATTATTACATTTGCTTTGGAAATTGAAATGTTATCTAATAAGGGTTTCGGTGGCAATATGATACGTTAGTTTGAGTTTTGGTTACAACAATTTGTTGCAGGATATAAGTTTTCAACTGGCAGCATTCCATAACCTCAAGAGGAAATCATACAACCACTTCAAATTTAGCTTACACACTGCGAACACAAACTCTTAATATGACCTGAGAGCATCGTAAGACAATATTTACGACAAACGTCATCGGAATGTTCTGTGGACGACAAAAGACTCGCACTGCACATAAACAACGCCCCAAGAAACGTGCTCATAGCTGCTGCTAAAATGAAACTTCGCGACGTTTTTACCCCGAGATCGAGGCTCGGTCAGGCGAGTTAACATGAGGGCATCAGGGTTCTTTTAACTTTTCAATGCATCAAAATTTATACTTTGCAGAAACAGGAATAGTTGTTGGGCTGGTTTTGGTGTTGATTTCCAGTGAAAACAATCAATTTTTGAAGAGATTCATAATTATAATGGCTTGAAATTTGCATAGCTGGTATAACGTTACATCGTAGTGTGTTGTTGAGCGATTTTAAAAACCTTTTTGTCTCTTTGAACGTTGCATATAGCGTCCTGTTCACACGGTCAGGAGGATAAAATATTTTCAAAATATTGATTCAGCTTAGACCGAGTTAGATGTTTGCATCCGCTTTTAAAGAGAACGCTTAGAAAATGTGGATGACATGGAAGTAATTTTAAGACATGCAAGTAAACATTAAGTAAGACATGCAAGTACTTAACTATATTCTATATCCAAGGGGCATATTTAGAAACGCTATACTGTATAATGTCACCCGTTTTGAAAATAATGCATGGAATGTACCGCATTTAAAAAATGATGATATTTTTAGTACCTCTTATGGTCGTCTTTCTCGGTTGCCATACCAAGGACTGCCATCATCTTACATCATACGAGAGACCCTCGAGCCTGAAAATATGACGTGATACAAAATTAGAGGCGGGGTCTCTAGAAATTAGGCGAAGTGGATACAAAGGGCGAAAAATATGACCTTCAAAAATAAGGCGGGTCTCCTGAACTTGGGTTGAATCACGAGACTTGTCAGAATGTCAGATGTGTCCCCAAGAAATATGTCGAACTGATTTGTGAAAACGTGTGGCGAGTGAGAGTGATTTTAATAGCAGCGCTGTCGTGACAGCTAGTTGTGGTTTTATGCTATTGATGTTAGTGGGGCTAAACAACCGAGGAAGTTAAAAAGGCTCAAAGTCGCTAAGTTCACTGCTAGTCGTGTATGAAACACTTAGCCATGATGGGAAACAAGTCAGCATTGCTGGGAACAAAAGTCGAGATTGTGTTTAGTTGTAAGTTAGTGCACTAGTTAACTGCATAAAGTATTACGAAACACCTCCACCGAGGTAATAGATTCGACCATAGGCGACGGGTATATCAGACGAAGCATTTAACAGCAACATCTTGACAGTCGTTGTTAAGAGCATACTTTTTACTAAGATGAACACGCTTAGACTACCCACTGACAATATATCTTCGCCAATAGGGCAACAGACAACATATAACCACACCCAAACAAGCACGTACGTGGGAAGACTATACCACGAGTTTTATAAATTTGAATGCAATGAAAAATAATGGCAGTCTCTTTACATAATTATTAAAAATCGCTTTAGGGTGGCTAAATATGCAATACACCATAATCACGTCTTCAAAAGAAAGAAGCATCGAATAGCCTATATTTTAATGTAGCCTGTATGTATGTAGGAAAAGTGTAATGTATATGAGCCTATGTACTATATGCTGTATCTCAGAATAGTCTAGAAAGACTGCAGCATAACCATATATATATTATGTCTTTACTCTTTCTTAATTGGAGAAATTAAACAATTAAATATATTGCAGAATATAAGCATATGCACGCAAAGCATAGTAGTCAGGTTAACTTGTTAATAATTGTCTTTAGCTTTAAAAGAAAACGTGTGAAGTGAAGGTTTGATGGCAAAGAGAAATTATGCTTTCTTTGTCTTCTATCTTTTATAAAAGAACGGTCTTGGAACATTTTGTCTTTTCGTAAGTAGAACTATGTCATTGTCATTTATAAAGGCTTTGCAAAGCTTTAGTCCTTTACGTCGCCGCATAAAACTACACTGCTCCATGATAAGACCAGTAGTTCGGTATTTACAAATGTGGTGTATCAGTGAGGTGTTAAAAGCTCGCAGCAAGCCACACGAGAGCGAACGAGGGTTGCTACGTGACCTTACAAAATGTTAATATATTAATTTTAGCAATTAAAGTGTATCATCAAAGGCATACCTTCCATAATCTGGTAAGTATGAACCTATATTTGTGAACATAAATATATTCTGACCCAACTTATGAGCCCTCTGCTTCAAAAGTCACTTCACTACGGTAAAATTTTAAGAATTGACGGCCACATTTGTCTTTTCATCCAGTAATTACGTATTTTCCAAATATCTTTTCATCGAGGACATACTGTCTTAAAATGGTGTGAGATGAACGTGGGCATTTAAAATACGAGTGGGAAGCTCATTTTAAGCCTAGGGGAAGGTGGAGTGGGCCCAAGACACGTCGTTATCGAAGCACAGAAAGTCTGTTACCATTACAAAGGATGGAATAGCAGAAATCCTGATCGAAAAAGAGTATAAAGAGAGTTTGTAGAGAGGTAGTATGTGTGAAAGTTTGCTCGCGAGAAATGATTAAAAAACATATCAAGTATTGGGGACTAAAGTAAAAGAAAACAATGCAAAGACACATAAAACCATTTCAGGAATCCTTTTGCCACACGAAAAGAGTATTCTTTGAGTCCAATACTAGTGTTATATGCGCCGAATGATTTTGTTGAGAATGATAATAGCTGCAGTTAATATTTTCCCACACACAAAATTAACGATTTCACTATGGCAACTTAAATTCCTATGTTTTAGCAATTATCGGGAGATTTCTGGTGATTTGGAGCAGTAATTAGAGTGCAATTTTGTGTTTGTGCCTACACAATCATAGGCAAGTTTTGAATAACAAACTCATCAGTGTATGTTTGTTTTCAGTAATATTGTATACAACTCTTTCCCTCCCAAAAATTTCCCACTAGGATATTAGGCATTTCCCAAAAACCCCATAGAATATTAGCCATTTCCCAATCGAGCAGGGTACTGGAGGGACAAATAATTTCAGACTTATCCTTTCCTGTCCCTCCAAACAGTCCATAGATGCTTTGCGGTTCGCGACTAGACCCAGTATCCTGCTCGATTAGGGAATGGCTAATTGTAAACAAGGTCAAGGGTTGGAAAGATGATCTCAATCTGGCCTTCGCGAGAACTTTCTAGTTTCCTGTAAAACATATTTGTGATCATTTTAAAGAGAACGACTAAAATTATCACCGACTTTTATCACTCGACAAAAACACTTCAAATTTCAAAAATACTTCAAATTCCGACAATGTGGTAACACGAACGTGTTTACAGAATAGGATGTACACATTTTCGACACATTTTTGTGATTCCGACTGAACACGGGCCGATATTCCAAGTCGAAGAATCTAAATTTATCAACATTGACTCTGAAATTGACCAAATCTGTTGTTCATACATCATTAAGACTGTATATTGATTAATTACTTGGGTAAGTAGTCCTGGATTCTATTTTTATTCCATGGTATTTGAGTACCATGGAAATATATCAACAAGATAAAGATGTGTTGAAACATGTTCAAGGGCCCTTGCTGTTTGGAAATTCATTTGTTTCAATAAAGCGTAGTCAAAAATTCACAAAAGCAATTGGGCAGTTCTTTTTCTAACTATAGTTAAAAGTTAATTATTACTAAGGGTAAGAATTTATTATTAAGGGTAAGAATTTGCTGTTGTTTGGCCGAGTGTTAGCTGGCTGTTAATTGGCTGTTTGTTGGCTGGTTACCAGACCGTTGATTGGCTGTTTGTTGGCTGGTTATCAGGCCGTCGATTGGCTGAGTGTTGGCTGGTTAGATGGCTGTTGATTGGCTGATTGTTGGCTGGTTAGCTGTTAATTAGCTGAGTGTTGGCTATTGGTTGGCTGAGTGTTGGCTGGTTAGTTGGCTGTTGGTTGGCTGAGTGTTGGCTGGTTAGTTGGCTGTTGGTTGGCTGAGTGTTGGCTGGTAAGCTGGCTGTTGAATGCCTGAGTGTTGGCTGGTAAGCTGGCTGTTGATTGGCTGAGTGTTGGCTGGTAAGCTGGCTGTTGATTGGCTGAGTGTTGGCCGGTAAGCAGGCTATTGAATGGCTGAGTGTTGCCTGGTTAGTTGGTTGTTGATTGGCTGAGTGTTGGTTGGTAGTTGTTTTGATGGTTCCTGGTTGGTTCCCCATTATTACAGGTTAAGTTAGCCTCGGGCGAAAATGTACGAGAATGCACCGAGGAACACACGAACTTACGTCGAACGTCGCACTGGATTAACTCTTCGTTCCAATGTTACGCAATCATCCTCCGCGAGTATCCTCGCGTGTGCGAACGTAATCCTCGCGTGTGCGAACGTAATCCTCGCGTGTGTGAACGTAATGCTCATGCGTTATTCACAAACACAACACTCAGTCACGCTTGTTAGAAAAACATTACACTATCAGGTATAAATAATATCACGAACGAAAGGTAAAGGGGGGTAGGTTAGGGAGGGGAGGTGGGGTAAGTAGGGGATGTGGTTATAGGGGGGGGGGAGCAAATGTGGGTAGTGTCTACAATACCGCCTGAAATGAATGAATAATATTGATCTATTGTTAAAGAGCAAATTCTAGGTCGAGGCTTTCTTGACATTTCCAAGGTGGCATGTCCATCAAGCTATTCGTAATTTCCATCATTCAGGAGCTGAAGGTATTAAAGAGGACGATTGTTTGTTTGTGTGTCTTTTGATATTCTTTAGCATCAGCAAATGTCTTCTCTCTCAAGTTAGCGGATGGTAAGTTTTGGCTTTATCTACTGCATTAACTCCCGCTGCCCGCCAACCGCCCGCCACCAGCCCCGCCTGATCGATATTAATCACACTAATGGTTTATCACAATACTCATGTGATTCAAATATACCCTAAGACTTGACGAGAAAACGATGCTCTTGATCGATGGATACAAACGAAACGCCTTACACAAAGCTCTTTATTTATCATATGTCAAGCCCAATAAAATTAACCTAACTAAAACAATCCTCCCTAGGATCTATGATATATTTTGCTTCAAAGCATGTATCAATATTGCATCAAGGACTCTCTTCATCCTATTTCCTCACTTCAAGACTAATACTTCTATTTCAAGCCAGCTACGTTCCACTCCAGTGGATGACAATACGTATATTGGTCCGCAAATCACGTCAATTTGACTCATTTTAATCTTCCGATGACGCTGCCAGTTCGTTTATTACCAATGATATTTCCTTGGTTTTGTCTCACTCCTATACAATTATACCCCGAGATATCTTGTTGTCACGAGATACGACCACGTCATTACTCCAATGTGCCCTCGAATCACGCAATAAACGGCCAGGCGATGTTTGCCTTTAGTACACAAGACTTGCACTCAAGTTTCGAAGTGTTTTGACGATTCACAGTTATGCATTCATTAGAGGAGTTTAGGAATAGGGGATGTTATATTGTTGCTTGTTTCAAATATAATAAATTCGAAGTAATAAGCCTCACGAACTCAATAATCGCCTCACGAACCCAATAGTCTTGATAATTTATTATGATTTTGCCTTTGGGAAAAATAGTTGAGTTATCTTTGCTGAAAAGAAGTGCAGGTCGCGATATATGTTTGGAAGCAAACAATCTTACAAACAAACTTAGTTTCAGGTGAAACGGTTTGTAGGGGATCACACGCTAACTGACAATGAATAATGTTGACATAGGAAATGATACATTTGTGGGTGTTGTATGAAGGGATGTTGATTATTCTGAATATAGGCGATTGTTTCGTGTTTGAATTGTTCCGATGCACGTTCAACTACCATCCCTTTATGATCCAAAACAGGAAGAAATCAGGCCAACGTAAAGATATGGTACTCAACGCATGCTATTTAACATGAACATCTTTTCATCTCGGACAGAGAGAGTGTTAAAATTAGACAATTGCATATTGCTGGAATCGAATTATCCTCGAAAATAAATGCAAGAATCTACCAGCTTTAAACCACGATAGATTTATTAAGTAGAATGTTCACTAAAGTAGACCATCATATGTATGGGTTACAGCTATAGTATCATAGGGTGTATTAGAAATTGATATCAGAATAGTAAATACTCCATTAAAAAATGAAATTCATATATTTAAACGCAGAGTCATGATTCGTGAAAATTCTTTACAAAATTGTTGTGGAGTTGTTAAAATATACAGCGATGTTTGGCAGTAAAAACCTAACTACAGGATATGAAATGATGTGATAGGCGTATGTGACAGAGCTATGGAATTTGTGGTAGGCTTATGTGACCGACCTAAAAAACTACATAGAATAAAAACATATTTATACAAAATTAAATTATACGATTTCCTACTTTTCTATAACCCTAAGAATGGAGGCGATATGCAGTGTCGATTTGAATTCAAACTAACGAATATCTTGGGAAACCATATAAGTAAGGTTCCTAACACGAGAAAGCGAATATCTTGTATACTGTACGTCTATAGGCTTAAAAATAAACAGTTTATAATATAAATCAAGTCTAAAAAGTACGTTATCAATTTCAACGAGATTTTGAACTTAGAAGTGTCTTGTTTGGTAGTGTACAATTCAATATTCACACAATTCAATTTGAGGCATTTCAAAGTGCACTGTTTATAGAACAATTTGATGGAACAATGTTACAACACCTTGGTTGAAATAATTCACGATGCCAGTCATTGGATGGTGAGGTTGCCTTAATGCATCGAAAGCTTAAAAATCTGTTGAAACTCCGTTAAATAGCATTTTTTGGCAACCTTTTGGCGGAGTTAATGTCCTTTGCACTCAAGTACTGTTTGTAAACTTCGAACCAAAAGCCTTTATTGAAATCCAAGCACACGTAAAGAAAGTTTACATAACGTTGTTCTTGTCATTTCCAAACATATCTCTTAAGATCTGATTAACTCCTGTCAACAGATTAGTAGATTGGTGTTCCTCATTTGGTGTGAGATGCGGAGGACATCGTGCCAGAGGAGAGGAGCACTTGAGAAACGAATTCCCGATGGCCAACGAAAGATCACTAGGGTAATTCTGAATCGCGGTCGACGGTGGGTAACTATGGATTTCGCTCATGTGCGGGTATGAAGCTGGTTGATTCTGCGCTTGGGATTTAGGAATACGATATGCTGTTGACGGTGAGAATAGGCTGGCGGTCGTGGCTCGCTGCAAAGGCGGTGGAGGGGTCATGGACATGTACCTTGAGGAGAATGACGATAAATCATTTGTTGTTGTGATTGGATTTTGTGGATTGTGGTCGTACGGTATGTTCGAAGTCATCTTGGGTATTCTCTGCCCAGGACTGACTTTTCCTGAGTATGGTGGGGTAGACGATACAGCACCATTTGCCTGTTGTTGTGGTCCACCATTGTGCTGAACTGCACTTCCTCGTGATGTGATGCCATTGTGGATAGTTTGTGCCCACAGGTTCTGCGACTCGTGATGTTTGGCGTTTCCAGTTGAACTGAGGACTTTCAAAACATCTCCAGTGCTTATTTTATTGTTCTCAAACGCTTCCCTACTGGGCGAATGTGTCCTCTTTCTTTCTCGCCGTTTTGGTTGGAACTTGTAGTCGGGATGATCGATTTTATGTTTCTGGCGAAGTCGCTCAGCCTCGTCTATGAACGGTTGCTTCTCGTTTTGATCCAAAGATTTCCAAATCCTGCCCAAAGTTTTGCTCAGCTTTGCATAACTCAAATCAGGGTAAAGATTTGAGAGTTTCTTTCTAGCCGCCTGGGCGTACAGCATAAACGGATTCATCGGCCTTTTCACGGCATTTTTTGCCTTGGAATGCTTGGCAGAGTTTGCCTGTAGTGGAAAGGATAAGGCACGCCAGTCTGAACTCTCTAAAACTTGTGTGACAGCCTTCGCTATGGCCAACCCGAGCTCGCTCTGATCCTGTTGATCTGCCTTCGCGGAGTCGTTTCTTTCGAAATGCGTTTCTTGTTTTATCGTTTTTTCAAAGTTAACCGCCTTGCTACCCATTGCTACGAATAAAGAGTTTTCAATTCACGAGTATAATAATTCCTTTGTGATGTTCGGTCTAAGAAAACTTTGTGCTACAAATATTACAGCATACAATTAAGACGCCAGGTTGAGTCAACACTGAGGACCAGCGTGCCGTGGTCAACTAGCATATCAGAGCCCCCAAAGCGTTGCGATCGTGTCGGAATCAGGAAGTCAAATTGAGTGTAAAAATTGTGGTTGGTTCAGAGTCGCGCTGATAAGAGTTCTGCGGCCAATGGTAGAGAAGAGATACCGTTATCATGTGACGTAACGGATTCAAGGGCATACCACAATACGTATACAACGCACGGAAACATGCAAAAAATACACACCACGCATTTTAAGAATATTCCAAGTAATCGAAAGTCTTGAATGTGAGAATATCTACCACGAATTCAAATGCTATGAACAATAGATAAACTCAAACAATATACAGGCCTTATCTTGAAAGGATCTTGCGGTAAAACACTAAGTTCCGTCAATAATTTTCACTCAACTATTGTACAAATTCTGACAGGTCTTGAACAGATCACATGTGCTATAGTATAACTGACGTTATATTTTTTTGAAAAAGCTAAGAGTTTTGTGCGAAATCGCCTGTTGTGAAGTTAATATGTAAAACAATTGCTGATAAAGGTATTCAAAATTTTCGGAGCATAACGAGATAATGGTTTTGATAAAGGCGCGTTAATGAATGAGAAATATTTGAAACTTTTCACTTAGATGGTGACTCAGGTGAAACAACAAAAGGCAACCAATAGAATCCACATGAAGTTGTACTAAATTTAGCACAAATGCATGTTGGCTTCCTGCGTGTGTTTCGCATTCGATCGATGATTGTTGACATAAAGCATGCCACTTTGAGGGTGTCCCCCCAAACAATAACAATAGGTGACTTTCAGTGCGTCGGCAGCAGCTGAGGGATGGAAAAAAGTCGACCCACACAAACACAAACATATACTTATACTTACATGTGAGTGTCTTTCAGGTTTTACACGATCACATGCCTCAGGAAGTGACCTTTCTTTAATCTAAGACAAAATGGTTTATAAAGCATTAAGGAAACAAGCAATATGAACGAATATTGACACTTTGAATCGCAGCAGAGACAAAGATATTCCTGTTGCAAGTTTCTACTCAAGAAAAGGGAACCCGGACTTTCTGTTTCTTTACAGTCAAACTTTTAGGTGGATTTTCACATACAGTGAAGTGGTTTCTTTGAGTTTTGATATTCAGTTTGATAGCTCTCAGTACAAAGGAAATCATACTAATATTTAGCAAGCGACTCCAGTGGAAAATCACCCTTAGCTAGAGTTTGATCAGGGACTGATATAAACACTGGACTGTTCGGTCTTTAGACGTAGCAATTCTGGATCCAGTCCCCTCTCGTTCAATTCATATTTTTATCCGAACGCAGGGTCATAGAGATCTTGTATAATAAGGGTCATAGGGATACTGTATATGCCAAAGTGCCGTAACCACTATTTTGCAATGCGGGTATTGCTCTGTCAGTCTGTGTTATTTCTTCACAGGAACCCCTGAGGGACCTCAAATATCCATTGGAATCCCCAGTCTTTAGACAAACATCGGATTACAGATACAAAGTCATAAGATCAAGCAGTGATATGCAGTGTTAATCTGATCTTAATAGCATAATCCTACTCTTGAGAATAGGTTCTTTTTCGGGTGCTCATATAACCCACTGATATTGCCTGTTAATAGGTGAAAGAGGACAGGATATATCGCTAATCCAATACCACCACAATCCTAATCTAGAATCCTAATCTAGAATCCTAATCTTGGGGTTCAAGGACTCGAGTATAGGATTATCTCAGTAGACCCGATCACAAATCCCTGATCTGAAATGCTAGACGATTAGATTAAGTGTGTTAGGTTAAGTGTGTTATCAGATCAAGTGTGTTAAGATTAGATGGGATTACGTAATTGGCCTGCGAAAAACTCTATTTATTCCATACAGCCTTATAGGGCTTGATAGGGCTATAAATGCTGCATGATATAACCAGATGGATTTGAGATCAAGGATTGCAGTTATGATTGCGATTACCTAGGGAATGAAGCCAGGAATTGAAACTGAGTAAAAAGATTGGGGCTTGTAATGTTTCAGTACATCTGAACTGACTCTATATAGATCAGCAACACACCTGGACAGTCCAGTTACCATTGAGACAATCGGAATGCTGAATCTTGAGAACTAAGATGGCGGCGAATAGTTTCAAAATTTGACCTCTTAACAACTGGAATGCGCAAGCAGGTTTATTCAAATCGATGGGGGAAAGAGATACATTCGTGCAGAAATATAATAAACATAGGAATATAATACACGTAGCTTTCAAATGATTATAAAGAATCGGCAGGAAGAGGGAGGGGTGGCCAGACTGAAGGCTAATATTCAGAACAAAAGCTTCCGGCTTTTAGAAATGAAACATCCAGTGACGTGTAGTCACAGACCTATGAGCAAACATGCATCTGTGTCCAAGATTAACAAATATTTGATTCTCAAAATATTCCTTATTTAATATCTTTTTACCTTTTCATCTCTTTGTTTATAACCCAGACCACAGAGAGGACCCAGAATAAACAGTCAGTTGTTCTATAAAAAAGGGAAAAACTTCAATTTAACAAAACCAATTTCAATCCATCTACTATACAAGATTAGAGGAAGAATTACATCTTGTTATATTCAACTAAATTTATTAAGATTTTCGACAATATCTTCCAAAATGACCGGCAAAATAAACAGGTGAATAAAAAGCTTTCTTAAATACAAAAGGTATTGTCGAATCTATAAAGGCGTACAGTCTATAGCACTACTTAAAATACGTTGAAATACTTGCACTTGTAAGAAAACTACGTCGCTCTATCCACTCAATATGAAAGCGCAGTCTTTGAAATTCAACAAAGTTTGAATATTCACACAGAACACTGGAGAAACTAAAGCCTTTTGGAAATGTTTCCAAGTACTATACTAAGAAGTGAAATCGAGTGTTTTTGTTTTCAAGTTTTTGAGGATTTGCAGATGTGCACGTATGCTTCAAGGTATAGTGGGGAATGTCATGATTGAATGGTGGCAATTAGGTATTTCAAGGCAAGGTTAGGTATGGAGAGCAAGGCAAAGCGACAAGACAATGCAGGGTATAGTCTATAGAGTCATCATTGCAATCTGATGTATGTTAAGGGAAGGCAAGGCGTTGTAAATGAGGGGCATTTTAGAACAAAGCAGGTTATTTTGAGAAACAGGCAATGCACAGGAGGAAGGGTGAAGATGAAAAGTGCTCTGGTAAAAGATTGTCTTAATTAATATACAGCTCGTAAACTCTTAAGCAAGACTCAATCAATGTCATTCAATCGTGAGTGCTGTGCAACAATGCATGATAGGATCGGAAATATGAAGTAAATCATTTCAAGTCTTATGTTAATCAAATCATTAAGCTCAAGATAAGGAATGAAAATAACGATATAAAAATAGCATTAAAAACCCAAATGAAAGACGAAGAATACAAAACATGTTTTATAGCTGCATGTGAAGTGTCAAGATTTTATTTGGCAAGCATTATTAACAAACAGGAATAAACTATTTTGTGTATCATGTTGTGCTGACCACAGCAAGCGAATGTGATCATTACCACAATACGCAATCCAAAGAAATTACACACAGCGATTTCCTTTATATCTAATAGCTAAGGCTGAATTACAAATCATTGGGTCTCGAAATCCAACGCAATCTCCCCATATGCAACTGAGATAAGTTCGTAAGCTTTATAACAAGACAACAGGGCATTACATGTACAGGAACCAAATCAGGTCGTTGACGATGTAAAACTCATTGACAAACATGCCTGTTATTTGACTGGATTTTCTCACAGTATTTCAAAGGACTAATTCGTAATATCCTGTTTGTTAAACAGCCTGGTCAATACGACAAATAACCAGATAATTAAACAAACACTATCCGCCTGCTTCTTGTACGTAAATAACGTATTCATTTTACATATTGAGAAAGGTCTGGAAGTCCACATAAGCAGGAAGGAACTCTAAAACAAGACAAAGATGGGCGATATACACCGGAAGAAAGGCATCCTGAACTAACACTAGTTCATGTCAATAACAGCACGTTTGAACAAGTGTTATCTTCACTGAAGTCATCAATTCCATCATTTACGCTTAATTGTACTTTGTATAACACAGCATCATTATCTATCCAGTATATACATGGATAAAGTTAGTAAAGTTTCTGTCTGTAGTAAAAGTGGATCTCTAGAAAGGACCGTTTGCAACAATAAAAAAAAATTGAAGTCACTGTGGTTTAGTTTAGGTTTCCTCCTGTAGTAACACTGGATCAATAAGAGATGATCCTTACTAGACCTCTTGGAAGAACAGTTTAGAACTGATAGAGCTATCCAGTAAAATAAAGTTAGTTCTGTTTAGCGTTTAGGTTTCTTCCTGTAGTATCACTGGATCAATAAGAGATGATCCTTACTGGATCTCTAGGAAGAACAGTTTAGAACTGTTAGAGCTATCCAGTATAAATAGAGTTATTTTAGGTTTCCTCCAGTAGACTGTAGTAACACTGGATCAATAAGATGATCCTCACTGGACCTCTAGGAAGAACTGATAGAGGAAACATCTAGAGTTATGGACATAGTTTTCTTGGCTTTCGCATTATTTTAAACAACTACAGTGTTACTCATATTCAGAATCTGTTTATTACACCATTGAACTGTATTAAACTACGCCCAACCCATAAAGGATCATGGGTAGTAATATTCAGGATAAAAATAACACAAAAAACTTCCTACAAAGAATGTTTTTAGATCGATATATCTAAGACCTAACTTGAATTATGATAATTAGTTGGTAGTTATAGGGTGTGTGTTCCTGCAACTCGGATATAATGATCACAGATTAGTATGAAAAAAAAAGTAAAAAATACGCAGGTTGTTAGAGAGTTCATTACACTATAAGCCAAGGTCTATGGTTGAGGCAATTAAGCAAAGCGGGCATGTGCGTTGCGGAAAGTTGATCAAGGTGACTCAGTAAAACTAAATGTGTTCTTTATTTAATCAATTACTCTTACACCCATTGCGATGTCAAAGACACTTGGCATGCTTCGTTGAAATGAAGCGCTTTTTACAAACTTTCAGCTTAATCAGAAACTTTTGTCGCGTTTTAGGCGATAAAATGATAGAAAAAATTGGTATATATCTGTGGGATTATCATGAAATACACTCTGTGGGGGAGTGGGTAGGAAGTTTTGATGGGGGAAATGTCGGGGGGCTGAAATTGATCACGATATCACATTTTTGAAATCATTCCAGATTTGTGTAGGTTTGATAACAAACGCAACGTACGCAATTCAGTGGTGAAGTCGAGGAAGAAGCTTAGTTTAGCGAATATGTTCTCCAGACTTTGTGCTATTATGTACAACACAAAACAGTTTTATATATAACTGGCTTTTTGAAGCAAATCACATTCACGTATACATTTTATGAATGATATAAATTCCATTCTACAATTCATCAATGCAAACGAATTCTTCACAAACATAAACACGATAATACTAAATAAAGTCTTTTGTGTTCGAACTCTTGAAGTGCATGATACATTACAAAGCACCTAACATCTTCAAGGGCGATACTTAGCTACTCGTACGCAGATTTAGTCAGTTTTTGAGACAAACGTATACGCAATTAAACGGTAATAAGTTGAATTCTTTCCAATTCATCTTTTTGAATGCTTAAGGATGAACTCATGGAACGTGTATGGTACAATTTTTATTTCATATAGCCAAACTGCTCTTCTAGAGTTCAAAATAGGGAGAGATCAGGGCTATAGTGAGCTGTGCTGAGCAAAGTTGACCCGAATTTAAATTGATCTTTATTGCAGCCAACATTGTTATGGGGTAAAAGAGACGAAGTAAAACAAAGGAACACTTCAACTTTTCTAGATTACCAATTCTGTCATCTCCAAACGTGTCAGTTTGCGTGTTTGCTGAAGAATATTTATCCTAATTTCGCCTTCAGCTCAAGTAATTATTCCAATTATGGCATAAAAGCTTTTGTAGCAAAATGCTCAGGATGGTAATCGTTAAAATAGGAAACAAACTACTTCGGAATGAAACGGTTCTTTCGCAGTTTTAAACTCGATCAAGCGAACATTGAGTAGACCATTCCAAAGATGAAGTATCGACACTTCAATCCTTCCTGACATCTCAAATTAAACACAAACAAGTAAAAGACTTTATAGAGAAGTTTCTTGATAATTCATTGAGATATTCTATCTATTACATGGTATTTCTTTCATGCGATAACATTTGAATTGGTCCAAATGCAGGATTCATTATAAAGCAGGCCAAAAAATGTTTAACGCAGGCTGTGTGCATGCTTTCACTTCTTGAGAACTTTGTAAAAGCGATATAGATACAAAATATACAAAAGAATGAGGATGATTATGAGCGAAGTGTATTCTTTTTGAACACAAAGGGCCTTAAACAAAGTGTTTTGATTTTTGCTGTAATATTGACGATACTGTTGCTGCAGAATTGGCAATGAATAATATTCCTTGTCTGATTTGAAAGAACTCATCAAATTTATATCTCATAGCTATTTTATCAAGGATTTCTCATATCTTCTATGGCGTGTTCTCGAAACATTCAAGCAATGAGCTCACTTTGTAATCCGCCATCTTGGATTGTTGCATGGGCAATGCAGGCCAAGTAGGAAGATTGCGCTGGTTATATTGTGCTGCATGGTTATATTGATAGTTTTCGGCCTAAGGAACTGTCTGAAAAGGAAAATCGTTTAAATCGTATTGTAATCATTTGTAGGACAATTCGCTTGTGACGTCACTAAACTACTAAAAATCACATCATAACTAAACAACCGAGGGAAATATTTCGTGTTTGGGAGATCAAATTTAAATCCTTGGTACAATGATTTCGGCACAAACTCTTGATCAAGCTGCAGTATATTGCAAGAACGACAAGCTTGAGCATCACTTAAGAATTGTATACACAGATTTTTTGTATATCTCTCCCAACTTCTAAAGCCTTTATCTACTTTATTTACATTGAACTTATTCACTTTTTTCCACATGAGTAACGAGTAAGTTTGATCCATTATAAAGACCATTCTTCAAATCATGTCAAAAATTACGAAAGTTCGAGTGAGCATTAGACGTGTCATGATAAATTGAAAATCTTCTAACAAAGGTCTCACAATTACATTATATTTTGAGAAGCAATGCCGCGAAAGAACTTTCTTTGCCAGAATTTTCAGTTGATGAGGCTTAAATGCAAAATTTGCCACTCAGGATTGTGTGTATGTATGTGTGTGTATATACAAAGGCTTTTCTGTGCATTTTCAAACGAAATATTACATGTTATCCACAGCAATCGCACTGAAAAATTTCTCATTTCTCTTGGGTTTGTCATTTCAAGACATCGATAAGATTCTGCATCTTGAAGCATCATTCATTTGCTATAACATAAATCTCGAATCTCCAGCTTAATCGTATATGAAAGATGCATAAAATTTATAAACAAAACAATTAACGTTGAACTAGGCTGAATGATGGTATCTTGCAACACCGAATTAACGCCCAATAAAAAAGATGCAATCTTCAATACATATATTTCATACGAAATTTTGAGTGGCGAAATCGAAGCGCCAATTTTTTTTTCTCTGCGTTTTTAATAGCTAGTCCATCTGAACTAACGGTGGACTTTCTCTAAAACAGTATAATTTGGGTTTTTTTTACTCTTGTACATGACACCGAATTCCCATTCGTCCCTTTTTATTCGAACGGGATCAGACAAATCAATTATAATCATAACTTCCTATTAGGTCCACCCCATGTCATGGGCACATAAATTAATGTCACCCAATGGCATACAACACATCATGTGCGGCATGGCACACAACCAGATGAATTCTAACATCCGTCATTCCTTGGTCATCCTGTTGTGATGGTTAAATATCAACTTGTTATCAAACGTTGTTTTAGTTCCTCTGTGCAAGGAAAATATGACTTGCGGTGGTAATAGCAGAAAATTACAGATACGCGTGCCTATTATTTGAATATATTAAGTCTATATTTAGAGGGCGTTACTTCCCCATATACAGATATGAAAGTACCACAGCTGCAGTTGCGTGCATGCGCGTCAATAGGAACATATCTTTCTCTCGTAAAGATCAATTAGAAGTCGTAAAATACATTTTATTATCAACAGGGGGCTTTACAACAAGTAATAACCATGTAATATGTAAATGATTTCACCAGGCTGGCTGCATGCATGCTGGTGCAGCATTACAAAAAGAACCGTTAGAAAATCAACCAACTTAATTCATACTGAATGGATCAATTTAGATTGCAATTTTTCAAATACCACTTCCCTACAGTACAGCTAAAAGACTTGTTAAAAATATTCAAGATAGGTAATAGAGTTTCGTGATCAAATTTACCCCAAATCACCTAAGTCCTTCCTCCACAGGAACAAGGAACAGTTTACACTATCGATTGTCATTTTCCAAAGGAGAACTACAGTTTGCAAAGTTGTTCGATTTAAAGGGGTATATAAATAAAGTAAATTAGTTTAATACATCCCATTAATTAAGTGTTTACTTCAAAGTCTAGTCTTATACTGATCTACAGATATGCAATATTGTGGTACAGAATCTTCTATCCTTAACATGTCTAGAAAGGATTGAATTAGCCATTTTTTGGAGAGGGAATAAGGTGTATACCAAGCCCTTAACCTTGTTGTATTGCAATGTCACTTGATGGCCAAGAATGCTCTGCAAAGCTAATCAGAAATCAAAAATATGCTTATTGAAATATCTCTTTCATATCTCTAAGAACATTGTTTTAGCAAAAACCTTGTTCTACCAAGTAAAAAGAAGCCTTTCTTCCTGTGAATTTGTAGTTTTTCTCTGGAAAGTCATAACTAATCAGGTCACGCATCACAGCCAGCACAATGACTATAATCATATCTTGACGAAGCACACGAAAGATTTTGGGATTTTGGAAAGAAATTAAAGATGTAAGGGTAATAGCAGTGTAATTACGTTTCCCCCTGTTGGAGAAGAAAAGAATACAGCTATTGGGCTATTCAGACTATTGTCTCAGGCGGAAACTACGACGGAAGTGTCACTACAGTAGAAATATGTGTTATAAATATACCCAATATACATTATGCCTAGATACAGAACGACATCAGCAAAACAAAAGTGAAATACGTGGGCACCCATCATTCGGGTACAATTACTGCACGATAATAGACCGCTTCTTGACACGAAAACACAGGTAGCGTGCTGTTTTGGACAATGTAACCTGTTATTAGTCACACACGTTTTATGCGACATCTCTTTCGAAATTAATCCAAACGTCAGTGTCGATCAAAAGAGCCTGTTGACTCAATTGTTTGTGGACATGTTCGTACACCCGTAACACACTTAAAAGAGAGAGAGAGAGAGCAAGTCGCATAAAGACTAAACAGACATTAACAGATCATAGGTGTCGAGATCACTTCGATATTAAGCTGGGAAAAAGCATTGAAAGTCATCGACAAAAACGTGTTTTTCAAATTAATTTCGTGTTGAATGTCAATCATGCTTTGCAAGATTTTTTGCATGACAAACACGGAAAGCACTCCGGATAAATTCAACACAAAGAGAAAGCCAAAATTAGCCACAATGCAACAAATTCCTGATTTTGATAAAATATTCAAGCGACTAAGTCATTTTAGGTCAACTACAAAAGCGTGTTTCTTGAAGTCACTTGTTTTTCGTGGTCATTTCTGAACCACTTAATACTGAGACATCGTTCCTGGACGGCACTTGGCTTATAAAAAACGGATAAGTTAATTCTTAAACCACATGGTTCCTTATTAACTGATATGTTTGCTAATAACGGGTCATTGTATAGCAAAGCATAAGTCACAAATGACATCGTGAAATGCCGCCAATTCATTAGCTTGCGTTTTAAAAAACCTCATGTCACTAAAGAATGTAGGATATCTTATACCACCACCTCGTCTCAGTTTCAATATAATTCAATCGTGTGGGTCAGAACACCGTATTTAAAGTCACCAACAAAGGGGTGTTTTTCATCTCGACTAAAAAGCTAGCGACTCTTAGCCATCAATGACGTTGATGTTGACGTCAGATAGAGGCATTTAATTTCCTTCTGATTTTGAACCTCTCTTTCTCTAGCATCCTCCGGAAATGCCTGAGCTCAAGAGAGGCTATAAAATGATGATGGACCACGCGAGTGTACCCACACTCTTTTGAGTTTGCTCGTCACAAACATCACATCCAAGTCAAACAGTGGTATAAACTCGCATTCAAAACCTTGGTGTTCATCCATAACTCACTCTACGCAATATCGATTTGATGGCACCCAAGAAAGAAATGACTACACAGGGTATGTTTCACTTCTGTTATCCAAATATTGATCTTAACTGGGCACGGATTTTAACTATGCCATTAGATAGCACTCGAGCTGACCAACACATCAAGCCTGCAATCTTGAATGCGCCAAGGATAAATTCAACGATTTTTCTGATCGCTTCGCTTGTAGATGTAAAGCAAAACAACTCAAAATTGAGAATATCTAATTCTTCTTCACTCACTTCATGGCACAAATTTCCAGTTATATGTGAATGCAAATTTCCACATCAAAATGCTAATCTCTTTGCTTTTCGACTAAGCGTCAATCAAAATTGGTTGCAATTCACAAGCGTGCCTATACCGGGCGTCGTATAATAATTAGTGTCAAAAATATTGGCCTTGTTTGTTAAATTTGAATGCGAAATTCCATGTAACAATTTCTCGATAAGTATTTGTGGATATAAAAACCAGGTAGCCATACACCTTCTGGAAATTGGGATGTATGCCTAAGATAGACCATCGCTGAGGGTGGGAGGTCGGGGAAGGAGGGTTTTGGGCGGGGGTTGTATTGACTACATGATAATTCTACATGACAGCACGTTCCACCTGCTTGAACAAGGAAGTCTAATTAAATAGGAACATATTTAACTTGAAAGCAGATTTTAGCTCTACTATCTTAACATTTGATCTAACTGTGTATCACTTATTCTTTCAAAGGAGAAGGACTAGACGTGCAGAGCGAGACCACGACCGTAGACAAAGCCGTCAATAGAATATTCAGCACTCCCGACTGGAACCCGGACTCAGGAATCAAAATTTCATGCTCGCGACGTAAGCACAAGGACAAAAGTCACATTCGTCGGCCAATGAACGCCTTCATGATCTACGCCCAAGCTGCCAGACGAAAGGTTGCAAGAGAGTATCCAAATCTTAGCTATGCACAACTCAGTAAAACCCTCGGGAAACTCTGGCGTCTGCTGGACGCGAGGGAGAAACGACCGTTCATCGAGGAGGCCGAACGTCTCCGACAGCAACACAAGGTCGACTACCCCGAGTACAAATTTCAACCGAAACGAAAGTCAAGAAAAGGGAGCACGGATGAAAACGAAAACGTCGTGTCAGAACGCGACCTGCTAACGCTTCTCAAATCAAACGTGAACACGGGACTGTCAAACACGAACAATAGCGATCATCAGGTCAGACTGCCGGGAAATCCCGACATGTCACGAATCCCATACAACGCACAACTTCACGTCAGCACGAACTATTCCGAAGGCATTCCGAAGAATCCCGGCGTTAAAATGGAACCAGAATCGCCGCAAGACGAGATCTTCGAAGACCTGTTGTCCGTGTTAAGCGATATGGAAAATGACAAAGCGAACTTTGGGTACTCCACGAAACTTACCCCGCCTCCTTCGCCAGATTATAACCTCAGTCTTCTTCCCGCTAGAAGCACAAACTCCCCCGTAAACCCTACGTTTCCTACCTATTCCACACCTACCCACCACAATAACGACTTCACGGCGCTATCGAACTATTTGACCGGGTACCAAAACTACAATGAGTTAAGTTTCACTCAGACAGTGACACAACCTGTGACCAGCCCGTTCCAGGGCAGTCAAGCGTTCCAAAACACTCAAAACACAATTACCAACACGGAACTTGCAAATCAGTACACGAATTTAGTGACAGTAGTCTAATACATACAGATTTATATTTATATATATGTGTATATGTATAACGTTTGTGAAATATTACAATGGAGGGGAACATTCTAATCATATAATAATACTTTAACCGAAATATTTATACAAAATAACCATAAAATTCATAGACTTAATTCAAACTCATGCATACTACGGATAACTTAGGAGTTTATATTGAAAGGTAGCCATGAATTTCATATCGTATTTGGTGGTAAAAATACGTCAATAAATCTTTAGATAATGCACTGCGGTTAATTTGAATGGCTGCCATTGTAAATAACGCATTTTTTGTATATTTCCATGAACCACACACGTGTGTTGGTATTATTCAATAAAATTCCGAGTATTTCAAAAGATTTATCGTATTTTTGTTGTTGCCAGACTTGTTGAAATGAGGTTTCATTGTTTTATATCGTTTCATGTTTACGAAAGGAAATGAAAAACGTTTTCTCGTGTGATATGGTTTACGAAAAATGTAATAATGTTTCCTAGCTTAAAATCTGCATATCAACATGTTTTCTTTCTGTCAGCCTCGATACTTCGATAGAACTAAATTACATATTTATACCAGATGGAAATTCCTTCATCCTAAAACAATACTGTTTTTGTTGGATGTATGTATGGTCGTTAGTGTGTCGTTATAAATTCCCGCGAGTCGTGTTCAATTCACAAGAAATATCTCCTTTATGAGCTGGCTTATTCATAGAGAAACTGATCACAAAAGATTTCGCCTTCAGATTGATACATATTGAACAGTTCAATTTCTCATCAATCGACATTTTGCCTCAGTCCCTGCCGTGTTGCCTTAGAAACAACACGAGAGCATATACCGGTATAGTACTGGCCGCATCTCAAGTGTTGTAAAATCAACCCAGTTATCTTGTAAAACGCAAACAACACCATGCAGATTTTCTTGTAATTTCAAAGTCGCCAATTATTTGTGCACAACAGTGAGAAATGCTTGCAACTAACAAAAACAGAGGTTATAGAAAACATTAAGATCGCTGCATCAATCATACTTCAGCGCTTATGGACATTCTTATACATTTTACAATATCCCCTTACATTTTATGCACTCACTTCATTTTCTTAATGAGGATTCCGCCGCAGTTATATGCCTATAAGGTAATGTAAATATACTGGCCTGCTGGGGTATGTGCCCCTAGCTATAAGTCAGTTCTGCTGAAAGGTGCAGATTAGTGCAAATACTTCCGAAGAATTGGTTGAATGCTGTTAGTGAATTTTGTTTCTGTTTTGTATGCGAGTGTATAGTACGCTGACGAAATTCCCTTGAAAAATACAGATGTGACACATCTTACTGGCAATTAGCTGATCTTAGTCGTACAAGGTTGTTCTTTGATGAACATAAACAACAGGTAAACGAGCATTGTTTTGATTACTTCAACCCTCCGTCATGAAAGTGCTCTCTAATATCTCTCGATGATCTAGTATATTAGACGACATGGGAATGCCTTAGGGTAATAAGAAATTAATCATTATGTATATAGGAGATGACCTCTTTAACGGTTCTCCACTATATAGGAAGAGGACCCTGAGATATTCTCAGTGTTGCTCTATAAGCTGAGGAAAAACACGCAGTTCTCGTCATTGGCAAATTTTTGCTCAAATACCTACACGTAAAAATAGGCATGATCGTTTTCGGAAGGACACAATTAAACAGAATCGTTATAAAGAACGCACACAAATGACATTCCGCGATCCTCAGAACATGAAACATGCTTTTTCATTACGACAATCGGTTTTTTAGCTTCCTTTCAAACCTCAATCAGAGGCTCTTGCACACGTAAATAACGTGCGAAAAAGGACGCCCATGCATAGTAGACGTTGGCAATTTGAACTTTGAAGAGCTGATTACAGCAAGTGAAAGACTCGCTGCCATTTCTTCACAAAGAGTTGAAAATATTTTATAACACATGCCACGATTTTACGTAATAAAAAGACTATTTTTGCTCGCTATATTTCCTGCATTAAATACATAGTTAACAACAATTAAAAGTTATAAATATTTTCCTTACCTTATACTAATATACGATCTATAGGTCTTCTTCAAACAGCGTAAACGAAATTTATAGCTATCTTACGTCACCTGGAACTGGTTGTGAAACCTGTAAAAAATTTTTTAAAAAATTAACTACACATTTTTCGTTTGTTTTAAGACAATTCGACAAAATTAGAAAAGGTTTTCAGGTGGTTGCTATGATGATTAGTAATGTCTACTTTTTGGGTTATGGAAGGCCTTTGGATTATGATTTTTTGAAGATGCAATAGCAGGGGTATTGTATTAAACTAGGGTTCCTTGATTTTCGCCGGCCTATAAGTCGTATGCGAGGACTAGAGACTAGAGGCTAAGTTAAGGAAAACTAACTAGATGTGCAAGAAATGGAAGAGATTGAAAAACTACACGCAAAGTACAATTTTTGTTTAGTTTTGGTATGAAACTGTTTAGCGTTCGAGAATATTCAAAACATGTTTTGCGACAAACAGCTATACACACAGGCGACCTCTCGCCTTCGCAAAAAATTGGTTAGAAGTACCCAGAGCAACGTAGGGACAATGTTATAACCGAGAACAAAGCGAGCTTTCATCTATTCAACACCTACAGCCCACGTATTCGTCGTTAAAGCGACTGGAATGAAGTTAGGGACCAAGATTTCTCTCATACCGAGAAAAAGAGATCCTGTTATGGTTTGGTCTTTCATCACGTTTTGCCAAGAAAGGGAATCATAACTAAGACGACGACACAAACATCATGGCTCAAATTAGAAATAAATTCCTTGGGAATATTATGAGTTATTGGGATCGTGCATTATTCTGCGTTTCCATGACTCAGGAAGGTATTTGACCTAACACACTGCATGCAGCTATACCACGCAGGTGTGGGAGGAACCTGGAAGAAGTTCAAGGAACTTTTTGAATATTAGGAAAACTTTGCCACTCAAAACTTTGCTACTCAAAACTTTGCCACTCAAAACTTTGCTATTCAAAAACAGGCAAGTCTTATACTAGTTATAAAGGAGAGAACATTGTGTATAGAACTTTATATTTAAGCTAAAATATTGTGTATATTTTTGTGTACTTTAAAGAAATCAGTTTAAAGCTGCACTCCTCGAAATCTTGGATAATCGTAGGTGCATGTTATTACAGAGAAAATCTCAGCCAAACTAGTTAAGTTTGTACTAAACCATTGCAATGTAGTTAAAAACTTATATTTTGAACTGCTGGATTTCGTGAAATAAATTTTGGCACAATTGTGGTTTGGCCGTGTTTTAACATAAAGAGGAAGTAGTTTCGTGATAAGGAAAACTCGGGACAAAGATATTTGAGTAATTTGAAATCAGCGGGATATCTGTTGTTATGAGCAGAACCAATGCGCCAAGAAGCTGCATTAAATCGCTTCAACTATTTTACGTTACAACAGCATAAAACCACGCAAGTATTAAGGAAATCCTACATAAATTGGCAATTATATTAAATAGTTATATAGCTATCAGTCTAAAGTTGTCCTTTCAGATCTAAAAGCTGTTTTAAAATGTGGGCCTGTTGTGAATTTCGGCAAGAAACCTAAAACTTATAATCATAGCTACCAGCCGCGGTCACAACACTCAATACGGCTAGCCAGAACACTTTTATTGAACTGTTCTACTATATCGTGGTCATTGCACTAATGTTTACTCATAAGTATTAACCCAAACTTCTCACAATATTGCCTTGGAGTTTCCTTCGCTTGTATCTATGACTATATGTACGTGTTTTAAAGTATTCTGTGTATGCTCGTCTAGTATCGCGCCATTGCCTTATCGGGATAATAATACGGCTCCACGCTTAATATATATTATATCTGCTTTTGTTTAATATTCGCAATTCTATAGGATGAGATTCCCTTTCAACTAAGCCGATATAAAAATACCAAAATTACTATATAAGAGTGGTTTCATGGGGTGATATTGCTAACTTATATGCAAAAACATTTCATCCTTTCAAAAATGCCGTCTGCATGCATGGATTATACGTAAAAGGATATGGCACGCGAACGCTGTTGTTTTATGTGTCATTTGCTCTTAGAATAAAAGAACTTCCTTCTTTGCTGATACGTGGGTTGTTATTGCACGAGACTGAGCCCTTATTATACCACCCCTGAAATATCGCTTGAACGAAAAGTTTAGCCTCGCCATTGGTGCGAGAATTTGAACTGGAATTAGGTTTAAAATTATAAATATAGGTTTAAATTTATAGCCCCAGGAATCGGATGTTGAAGCTATAGCCATGAATTGTTTTACATATATAGGAATGTATTTGAATTGAATTAGATCGAAGCGTTAAATACTAGTCTTACCCTAGATATATACAAAGGACTTCTATGAAGATTAAGCATTTGTACATATGCGCAACAATTCTGAATTTAGTCCAATTTTTTTTCAATTTTAACTCAACACTTGTACTAATTCTCAAATCGTGCGCGCATTGCATGCATGTGAATGTGATTTGAGGGAGATAAATTAGAGTCATCTATCCGGAGTTTATCAACACATAAAACGCAGCCAAGGTAAGGATGCAAGGGAATGATTATTGTCGTTATAAATAAGTCTGATGCATTAGGCGCGGCGTGATATCGTGCTGTGATACGACGTGATTTCATCAATGATCACCATCAAGCTATTGGCAAGCGCGATCTCGAGTCACCCCTTGAGATAAAGTAACTATCAGGAAAGTGTTTTGCGGTGAATGTTAATAGCGCTTTGTGTTTCCTACCAGTCACGCCCTGTAATCAAGTCGAGGCATCACCAAGGAAAAGCATGAGAGATATAGCGCTCGCTGTGGTCAAAATAGCCGCTCAAGAATAACAACGGTGTATAACATGGTAGAGCTTGGCTCTTCAGGATGAGATGATCCTTACTGGACCTCTAGGAAGAACAATTTAGAACTGATAGAGCTATTCATTATAAATAAAGTTAGTTTAGTTTAGGTTTCCTCCTGTAGTAACACTGGATCAATTAGAGATGATCCTTACTGGACCTCTAGGATGAACAGTTTAGAACTGATAGAACTATTCAGTATAAATAAAGTTAGCTTAGTTTAGGTTTCCTCCTGTAGTAACACTGGTTCAATAAGAGATGATCCTTACTGGACCTCAGGAAGAACAGTTTAGAACCGATAGATCCTTACTGGAGCAGCTTAGAAGTGATAGAACTTTCCAGTATAAATAAAGTTAGTTTATGTGGAAACGGCACTTGATCAAGCAGTGAAGATTAACATTGGAACTCTAAACACGCGTGGAGATACGTATACATAGGATTCGAGTTCTTTCTAAAATGATAAAACCGCTCCGTCTCCACCCTCTCCTCTTGAAACTCTAGTCTAGTCGAACTGCTTGCCAAAAAATTTCACGCCCTATTGCAAAGGATGTACGCCTGTAATCATCAATCGACTATATAAGGATGTCTACTTCGACATAACCTTAAAAAGTTTGCGGAAATGTCTATATAGAAATGTAATGGCTTCCACATCTGTTTGAAAAAATGGGCTTTTGCTAAGCGCGATGATCGCAAAATGTGGTTAGTTTATTTAGGAAAGCGATAGTTTGCCTGCCGGAAATGTTTCTGGTAATTTTTCAATTGAAGAATAAATAACTCTGGGTGGTTAAAACGATAAACGATCAGAGGTATTTTCACAAAAGCTCAGTTTTCAACAAGTCTATACTAATAAATGGTGTGATTAAGATTTCACAAGATTGGTAAATGGAGAATTACAATATCACCCGCATGCATGAAAGAATGTCAGCGCATGTATTTTTGTAAACATTTCAAGTACTTCATGCAGAGAATGATATATATGCTAGGCCTGTTTTCCAGCGCAAAAATATTTACAGGACGCAAGGCGGAAACGAATTTCAGTAGGGAGAATTGGTCATCGTGAAGAATCTTGACATTTATGCTGGAATATTGCGAATTTCACGAGAGAGAGATTTGAGACACGAGAGAGAGATAAAGTATAGAGGGAAGACGTACTGACGAATTCAGACAATAATTCGCATATCTGCATATGATCTCCTTATAGTCGCTCTGACATTGGAAAAAAATTATGATCTATTATATAGCTTGAAAAAAGTTCCGCAATAGTTCCCATCGGTAAACTTATGGACTCAACTAACCCCATATTCCTGAGGGAAATCATCAGAATCAAACATTGCACAATTCTCGAACCACGAAACTTTTCTGATAGAGGCAAAACGAAAATTGCCTTCAGCCAGACATCATAATATCCAGATCAGTGATTAGATTTTTTCGTTTTTCTTGGAACCTGATATTTTACTACCAAATTCTATACTTTTTACAGCACCAAATAAGGCCAGGGAGAGCAATAATCACAGGCTATATTTTTAGTAGGCTTATCTCACTTTAATAGTTGCGTTAGAACGAGATAATCTATACCTCTATTTGGTCTTATATCCTGTAAACGTTTGATATAGAATTCCATAATGCATAAGTATATTGGATAGCTCTATCTTTTCTTATTGATCCAGTGTTACTACAGGAGGAAACCTAAACTAAACTAACTTTATTTATACTGGATAGTTCTATCAGTTCTAAACTGTTCTTCCTAGAGGTCCAGTAAGGATCATCTCTTATTGATCCAGTGTTACTACAGAAGGAAACCTAAACTAAACTAACTTTATTTATACTGGATAGCTCTATCAGTTCTAAACTGTTCTTCCTAGAGGTCCAGTAAGGATCATCTCTTATTGATCCAGTGTTACTACAGGAGGAAACCTAGACTAAACTAACTTTATTTAATACTGGATAGCTCTATCAGTTCTAAACTGTTCTTCCTAGAGGTCCAGTAGGATCATCTTTTACTGATCCAGTGTTACTACAGGAGGAAACCTAAACTAAACTAACTTTATTTATACTGGATAGCTCTATCAGTTCTAAACTGTTCTTCCCAGAGGTCCAGTAAGGATCATCTCTTATTGATCAAGTGAAACTACAGGAGGAAACCTAAACTAAACTAACTTTATTTATACTGGATAGCTCTAAATCGTTCCTTATAGGGAAGGGATTGCCTCATATATTGATCCAGTTTATTGCAGGAGGAATCCTATAAACAC